CATTCTTAAAAGTCTTATAACTTTTTATTTTTGTCCTCACTGCCCTCCAAGTTTTCTAGGATGATGCAATGTCCAGCCATCAACACATTTGTGAAGGAATTTTTACTCCCCAAAAGAGCGCCCCCCCATGGCAGGAGAAAAAAGTCAATTTTTTCTTGTCCCCTTACATGAAAATACACATTGTTGAGTGTCACGCCTGAACGCTTTGTCATATTGACACAAAAATTGACAATCATGTGTATCTCAATTAGATCTACGAAAAAGTCAAAGAGCGCGTATCTGTATAATGTACGGTTAAAGGGCTATTTCGCATTTTTTGCCGATTCGCACACATTGGAATGTGGCTATCTCCTCCTAAGGCTTTCGTCCCACTGATACCAAATTTGCTCAGGGCAATCTACACCCCATGCCCATTCAAAGTTGTAAAAATCATGACGCTGCACCCCACGGTTTACGTTCTAGGGGGCGCCAAAGATGACCCAAAAATCCACATTCTTAAAAGTCATTTTGGCCACTGCAGGAGTACAGAGTACTGCAGTTCTAGGGGGCGCCAAAGATGACCCAAAAATCCACATTCTTAAAAGTCTTTTTGGCCACTGCAGGAGTACAGAGTACTGCAGGATACACACACATATACACACACGCCAACACACACACACACACACACACACACACACACACACACACACACACACACACACACACACACACACACACACACACTCAGAGTCTGGTTTGTAGCACCTGCAAAAACATGCTATTTACATATTTGACAAGAATGCAGAGGCTCCTTTTGCCCCTGAAAAAAATCAAATTTCAAACACAACTTGACTGGTCATTTCTCCAAAAGACAACCATGAAGCTCCATCCAAACCTGAAGCAGGCAGTTGGTGCATGTGTACAGTAACCTGAGGGGAGTGAGGTGACTGCTTCTGAGGAGAACATGAGCAGTGAAGATTTACCTTAGAGCTAGAACAGAGACGTGCACATGATTATACAGGGGCAGGGGCTCAAGTTTTTTCCAGTCGTTTATACAATTTGGAAATTAATGTGAAATTAAAACACAAAGTATTAATAGAAAGGTAGTGACTGTCCTGTGTAGGTGACAGTGATATCCAATAGGCTAGGCACTCACGAGGCTGGCTGTGGCAAGTGTAAGTGAAAGCAACACGCACTGGCAGGAAGAACAGCAAACGCCGATGAAGGAAAAGGGTCTTTGCAGTGATGGGCGTTACCAAAGAGGGCGATGGCCAGAGGACACAAATGGGACGGGGAGGCAGCGCGTTGGGGGGGGGACGCGACACAGCTCGGGCCCGCCAGTGCCCCAACGGGGTCCTAGTTCTTCTTCTTCTTATTATTATTTTTCTGCCCCTTTGAACTGGAAAATGGCCCACTTCCCACTGGTGAAAACTCATGAAATTTGGCAGGACGACTGGGCCTGGTGAAAAATTCGATATTCTGAAGTCACCCAAACAATCAAATGCAAAATGGCTCCATAGCGCCCCCTAAGGTGAAAAATTCACATGATTGAGTGTCACGCCTGTACGCTTTGTCAAAATGACACAAAATTTGACACACACGTGTATCTCAATAAGATCTACAAAAAAGTCAGTGCGGGCGTATCTGTCAAATGTACGTTTAAAGGGCTATTTCGCATTTTTTGCCGATCCGCACACATTGGAATTTCGCTAACTCCTCCGAAGGCTTTCGTTCCACCGGCACCAAATTTGCTCAGGCCAATCTACACCCCATGGCCATTCAAAGTTGTACAAATCATGACGCTGCACCCCACGGTTTACGTTGTAGGGGGCGCCAAAGATAACCCAAAAATCCACATTCTTACAAGTCTTATAACTTTTTATTTCTGTCCTCACTGGCCTCCAAGTTTTCTAGGATGATGCAATGTCCAGCCATCAACACATTTGTGAAGGAATTTTTACTCCCCAAAAGAGCGCCCCCCATGGCAGGAGAAAAAAGGCCATTTTTTCTTGTCCTATAAGGTGAAAATACACATTGTTGAGTGTCACGCCTGTACGCTTTGTCATATTGAAACAAAATTTGATAATCACGTGTATCTCAATAAGATCTACGAAAAAGTCAATGCGCACGTGTCTGCAAAATGTACGGTTAAAGGGCTATTTCGCATTTTTGGTTGATTCGCACACATTGGAATGTGGCTAACTCCTCCTAAAGCTTTCGTTCCACCGGCACCAAATTTGCTCAGGCCAATCTACACCCCATGGCCATTCAAAGTTGTACAAATCATGACGCTGCACCCCACGGTTTACGTTGTAGGGGGCGCCAAAGATAACCCAAAAATCCACATTCTTACAAGTCTTAACTTTTTATTTCTGTCCTCACTGGCCTCCAAGTTTTCTAGGATGATGCAATGTCCAGCCATCAACACATTTGTGAAGGAATTTTTACTCGCCAAAAGAGCGCCCCCCATGGCAGGAGAAAAAAGTCCATTTTTTCTTGTCTCCTAAGGCGAAAATTCACACTATTGACTGTCACACCTTTACGCTTTGTCAAAATGACACAAAATTTGACACACACATGTATCTCAATAAGATCTACAAAAAAGTCAGTGCGGGCGTATCTGTCAAATGTACGGTTAAAGGGTTATTTCGCATTTTTTGCCGATCCGCACACATTGGAATTTCGCTAACTCCTCCGAAGGCTTTCGTTCCACCGGCACCACATTTGCTCAGGCCAATCTACACCCCATGGCCATTAAAAGTTGTACAAATCATGATGCTGCACCCCACGGTTTACGTTCTAGGGGGCGCCAAAGATAACCCAAATATCCACAGTCTTAAAAGTCTTATAACTTTTTATTTTTGTCCTCACTGGCCTCCAAGTTCTCTAGGATGATGCAATGTCCAGCCATCAACACATTTGTGAAGGAATTTTTACTCGCCAAAAGAGCGCCCCCCCATGGCAGGAGAAAAAAGTCCATTTTTTCTTGTCTCCTAAGGCGAAAATACACATTGTTGACTGTCACGCCTTTACGCTTTGTCAAAATGACACAAAATTTGACACACACATGTATCTCAATAAGATCTACGAAAAAGTCAATGCGAGCGTATCTGTTCAATGTACGGTTAAAGGGCTATTTTGCATTTTTTGCCGATTCGCACACATTGGAATGTGGCTAACTCCTCCTAAAGCTTTTGTCCCATCGGCTTCAAATTTGCTCAGGTCAATCTACACCCCATGTCCATTCAAAGTTGTACAAATCATGACGCTGCACCCCACGGTTTACGTTCTAGGGGGCGCCAAAGATAACCCAAAAATCCACAGTCTTAAAAGTCTTATAACTTTTTATTTTTGTCCTCACTGGCCTCCAAGTTCTCTAGGATGATGCAATGTCCAGCCATCAACACATTTGTGAAGGAATTTTTACTCCCCAAAAGAGCGCCCCCCCATGGCAGGAGAAAAAGTCAAGTTTTTCCTGCCCATCGCTCAATGGCTCAAACGCATCGCTCTCTCGGCAAAACCGAAAGGAGGAGCAACTTGCCATTTGGATATATACTAGCTGTGTTTGTGCCCTCACTCATGGTCCAGACTTTTTTCAAAAAGGACATGGAGTTTGTCTGCAGCGAGCGTTTTGGTAGAAACTGCGCCTCCCATTCATTATAATGGTAAATGACCACAGACAAGTGCGCACACCATCTTTGGACCTTGAGTGTGACGCAATCGGGAGGGGTAGGCGGTCGCGCTGGGGGTGGCGCGACACGGCTCGGGCCCGCCAGTGCCCCAACGGGGCCCTAGTTTCTTCTTTTTCCTCCCCTTTGAACTGGAAAATGGCCCACTTCCCACTGGCGAAAACTCATGAAATTTGGCAGGACGACCGGGCCTGGTGAAAAATTCGATATTCTGAAGTCGCCCAAACAATAAAATGCAAAATGGCTCCATAGCGCCCCCTAAGGTGGAAATTCACACTATTGACTGTCACGCCTGTACGCTTTGTCATATTGACACAAAAATTGACACACATATGTATCTCAATAAGATCTACAAAAAAGTCAGTGCGGCCGTATCTGTCAAAATTACGGTTAAAGGGTTATTCCGCATTTTTTGCCGATCCGCACACATTGGAATTTCGCTAACTCCTCCGAAGGCTTTCGTTCCACCGGCACCACATTTGCTCAGGCCAATCTACACCCCTTGGCCATTAAAAGTTATCAAAATCATGACGCTGCACCCCAAGGTTTAGGTTCTAGGGGGCGCCAAAGATAACACTAAAATCCACATATTTAAAAGTCTTATAACTTTTTATTTTTGTCCTCACTGGCCTCCAAGTTTTCTAGGATGATGCAATGTCCAGCCATCAAAACATTTGTGAAGGAATTTTTACTCCCCAAAAGAGCGCCCCCCCATGGCAGGAGAAAAAAGTCCATTTTTTCTTGTCCCCTAAGGTGAAAATACACATTGTTGAGTGTCACACCTGTACGCTTTGTCAAAATGACACAAAATTTGACACACACGTGTATCTCAATAAGATCTACAAAAAAGTCAGTGCGGGCGTATCTGTCAAATGTACGGTTAAAGGGCTATTTTGCATTTTTTGCCGATCCGCACACAGTGGAATTTCGCTAACTCCTCCGAAGGCTTTCGTTCCACCGGCACCACATTTGCTCAGGCCAATCTACACCCCATGGCCATTAAAAGTTGTTCAAATCATGACGCTGCACCCCACGGTTTAGGTTCTAGGGGGCGCCAAAGATAACCCAAAAATCCACATTCTTAAAAGTCTAATAACTTTTTATTTTTGCCCTCACTGGCCTCCAAGTTTTCTAGGATGATGCAATGTCCAGCCATCAACACATTTGTGAAGGAATTTTTACTCCCCAAAAGAGCGCCCCCCCATGGCAGGAGAAAGAAGTCCATTTTTTCTTGTCCCCTAAGGTGAAAATACATATTGTTGAGTGTCACGCCTATACGCTTTGTCATATTGACACAAAATTTGACACACACGTGTATCTCAATAAGATCTACAAAAATTCTATGCGCACGTATCTGTCAAATGTACGGTTAAAGGGCTATTTCGCATTTTTTGCCGATCCGCACACATTGGAATTTCGCTAACTCCTCCGAAGGCTTTCGTTCCACCGGCACCACATTTGCTCAGGCCAATCTACACCCCATGGCCATTAAAAGTTGTACAAATCATGACGCTGCACCACACGGTTTACATTCTAGGGGGCGCCAAAGATAACCCAAAAATCCACATTCTTAAAAGTCTTATAACTTTTCATTTTTGTCCTCACTGGCTTCCAAGTTTTCTAGGATGATGCATTGTCTAGCCATCAACACATTTGTGAAGGAATTTTTACTCCCCAAAAGAGCGCCCCCCCATGGCAGGAGAAAAAGTCAAGTTTTTCCTGCCCATCGCTCAATGGCTCAAACACATGTCATGTGTTCAAACTCCTCCGAAAGGAGGAGCAACTTGCCATTTGGATATATCCTAGCTGTGTTTGTGCCCTCACTCATGATCCAGACTTTTTTCAAATAGGACATGTAGTTTGTCTGCAGCGAGCGTTTTGGCAGAAACTGCGCCTCCCATTCATTATAATGGTAAATGACCACAGACAAGTGCGAACACCATCTTTGGACCTTGAGTGTGATGCGATCGGGAGGGAGAGGCGGTCGTGTTGGGGGCGGCGCGACACAGCTCGGGCCCGCCAGTGCCCCAACGGGGCCCTAGTTTTTTCTTTTTTCTTTTTTTTTGGTCTAACTAACTCCAAAAGGTCGGAAAAGAGTTCCTACAAAGGTTTTGGACGGTGATTTTAACCCTAACACCAAAAACCTTAAACCTTACCCTAGCCCCAAAACCTAATACCCGGGTATTACCTTCAGGAAGCCCGAACACCCCAAATATTTTTTTTTTCATTTTACATTTTTTTTGGTGTAACCAACTCCAAAAGGTCTTAAACATGTTCCTAAAAAGGTTTTGGACACTGATTTTAACTCTAACGCCAAAAACCTTAAACCTTACCCTAGCCCCATAACCTAATACCCGGGTATTACCTTCAGGAAGCCCGAACACCCCAAATTTTTTTTTCTTTTTCTTTTTTTTTTTGTCTAACTAACTCCCAAAGGTCTGAAACATGTTCCTTAAAAAATATTGGACAGTGATTTTAACCCTAACGCCAAAAACCTTAAACCTAACCCTAGCCCCAAAACCTAATACCCGGGTATTACCTTCAGGAAGCCCGAAAACCCCAATTTTTTTTTTTCATTTTCTGTTTTTTTTTTGGTCTAACTAACTCCAAAACGTTGGAAAATAGTTCCTACAAAGGTTTTGGACAGTGATTTTAACCCTAACGTCAAAAACCTTAAACCTTACTATAGCCCCATAACCTAATACCTGGGTATTTCCTTCAGGAAGCCCGAAGACCCCAAATATTTTTTTTTTCATTTTACATTTTTTTTTGGTGTAACCAACTCCAAAAGGTCTGAAACATGTTTCTAAAAAGGTTTTGGACAGTGATTTTAACCCTAACGCCAAAAACCTTAAACCTTACCCTAGCCCCATAACCTAATACCTGGGTATTTCCTTCAGGAAGCCCGAAGACCCCAAATATATTTTTTTTTCTTTTGTTTTTTTTGGTCTAACTAACTCCAAAAGGTTGGAGAGAGTTCCTACAAAGGTTTTGGACAGTGATTTTAACCCTAACACCAAAAACCTTAAACCTTACCCTAGCCCCAAAACCTAATACCCAGGTATTACCTTCAGGAAGCCCGAACACCCCAAATATATTTTTTTTTAATTTTACTTTTTTTTTTTGGTGTAACCAACTCCCAAAGGTCTTAAACATGTTCCTTAAAAAATATTGGACAGTTATTTTGACCCTAACGCCAAAAACCTTAAACCTAACCCTAGCCCCAAAACCTAATACCTGGGTATTACCTTCAGGAAGCCCGAACACCCCAAATATTTTTTTTCATTTATCTTTTTTTTTTTTGTCTAACTTAATCCCAAAGGTTGGAAAAGAGTTCCTACAAAGGTTTTGGACAGTGATTTTTACCCTCACGCCAAAAACCTTAAACCTTACCCTAGCCCCATAACCTAATACCTGGGTATTACCTTCAGGATGCCCGAACACCCCAAATATATATTTTTATTTTTAGGGCCCGAGCGTAGCTGCTAAGCAGCTGCGAGAGCCCTATTATTCCCCAAGTGGTTTTTCTTGTTTCTTTAGGGCCCGAGCGTAGCTGCTAAGCAGCTGCGAGAGCCCTATTATTCCCCAAGTGGTTTTTCTTTGTTTCTTTTTTCTTTTTCCTCCCCTTTGAACTGGAAAATGGCCCACTTCCCACTGGCGAAAACTCATGAAATTTGGCAGGACGACCGGGCCTGGTGAAAAATTTGATATTCCGAAGTCGCCCAAACAAGAAAATGCAAAATGGCTCCATAGCGCCCCCTAAGGTGAAAATTCACACTATTGACTGTCACGCCTGTACGCTTTGTCAAAATGACACAAAAATTGACACACACATGTATCTCAATAAGATCTACAAAAAAGTCAGTGCGGGCGTATCTGTCAAATGTACGGTTAAAGGGTTATTTCGCATTTTTTGCCGATCCGCACACATTGGAATTTCGCTAACTCCTCCGAAGGCTTTCGTTCCACCGGCACCACATTTGCTCAGGCCAATCTACACCCCATGGCCATTAAAAGTTATTCAAATCATGACGCTGCACCCCACGGTTTAGGTTCTAGGGGGCGCCAAAGATAACCCTAAAATCCACATATTTAAAAGTCTTATAACTTTTTATTTTTGCCCTCACTGGCCTCCAGGTTTTCTAGGATGATGCAATGTCCAGCCATCAACACATTTGTGAAGGAATTTTTACTCCCCAAAAGAGCGCCCCCCCATGGCAAGAGAAAAAAGTCCATTTTTTCTTGTCCCCTAAGGTGAAAATACACATTGTTGAGTGTCACGCCTGTACGCTTTGTCAAAATGACACAAAAATTGACACACACATGTATCTCAATAAGATCTACAAAAAAGTCCATGCACGCGTATCTGTCAAATGTACGGTTAAAGGGTTATTCCGCATTTTTTGCCGATTCGCACACATTGGAATTTCGCTAACTCCTCCGAAGGCTTTTGTTCCACCGGCACCACATTTGCTCAGGCCAAATTACACCCCATGGCCATTAAAAGTTATTCAAATCATGACGCTGCACCCCACGGTTTAGGTTCTAGGGGGCGCCAAAGATAACCCAAAAATCCACATTTTTAAAAGTCTTATAACTTTTTATTTTTGTCCTCACTGGCCACAGTTTTCTAGGATGATGCAATGTCCAGCCATCAACACATTTGTGAAGGAATTTTTACTCCCTAAAAGAGCGCCCCCCCATGGCAGGAGAAAAAAGTCCATTTTTTCTTGTCCCCTAAGGTGAAAATACACATTGTTGACTGTCACGCCTGTACGCTTTGGCAAAATGACACAAAAATTGACAATCATGTGTATCTCAATTAGATCTACGAAAAAGTCAAAGAGCGCGTATCTGTATAATGTACGGTAAAAGGGCTATTTTGCATTTTTTGCCGATTCGCACACATTGGAATTTCGCTAACTCCTCCTAAGGCTTTCGTCCCACTGACACCAAATTTGCTCAGGCCAATCTACACTCCATGGCCATTCAAAGTTGTAAAAATCATGACGCTGCACCCCACGGTTTACGATTTAGGGGGCGCCAAAGATGACCCAAATATACATTACAGTAGACAAAGTAGTTTTGCCCACTGAGTGGCGCCAAAGGGACTTGTCTGTGGAGTCTGTGAGTCACTATTGGCCGTTTTTGACTACTTTAGATTTTACCTTTATATTTCCTCTTACAAAATTTTTACCTTGCCTTGCCTGGTATCATTTTTTTCAGCACAACCTCACCTGTGCGAATTTACAGTTATTTTATCATGTTGACATACTGAATTTACACAATGGACCCAAATTCACACACAAAACATAAAATCCGAGTGGAAAAAAGTAACATTTTTACTGTGAAAACCACAAATATGTGTGATGAACTGTTTTTAAAACTTAAACTTCAAATAAAAATTGTAAACTTCAAAACATATGCAAATTTTTAACAAAGAACATAGTGATTTACCTCTATTTACATCAAAATGCAGGCAATGGCCCAGGCGTTCTTTGTAAAATTATTTACAAAACACTGTATAGTCTCACAAATGTCACTTTTTATTTATGCCACTACAAAAAAACATGATGTAAATGATGCATGATGTAAAACATGATGTAAAAAACTTGTGTAGATCCTCCTCTATGTCAGTCCATGTGTAATTTTTCCATAATTCTTTGTTTTTTGCAGCATTTTTGTTAGTGTAACTGCAGATTGTGCTGACAGTGTCTATGGCACAAAAAAATTTTTTTTAAAATGCCTCAACATGAACCCCTGGTGGTCTCTGAGGGTGAAACCTGCTAACTGCTGCAGCTCTGTCAGCTTCAGTCTCCCATGCAGAGCTCTGAGCGCATGTGTGGCTCTGCACCCTTAGCAGCATTGCTAACTCCTCAGTAAGGAAAGCCTGCTTCATGTCAGAGTCTCTAAACTCCAGAAGAAGTCGATAAAAGTCCCTTTCTTTCTAAAAAAAAAAGTCGTTAGGGGGTCTGAAAAGTCATTGAATCTAACAACAAAGTCGCTAGGTTTGCAACTACGTGTCCCAGACTGCATCCCTGCTGAGAGTCCCTCCCTCGCTTCTCATGTTGCAGGAAGAACGTAAGCGCCCGCCCCTTGTCAATCAGTCACCATATAATTTTGGATTGGTTGTTGTGGTGAAGTTTTCCACCAATAGGAGAGATGTTGTGGTGTGTTTTTTTTTTCTTTAGGCAAGCCTTTTCCGCCTGTAAGAGCTGTCGCTAATGTCTGCATGCTATGTTTTCCTGTCTCATACAGCGCGATCGAGCGCCGAACGTGATCAAAATAAGCAGAAAAAAAGTATCGCGGACATAATTTATCATAACTCTGGTTTTATTTGGCCTATCATCACAATTTAAAAACTGGTATATAGGTTGAGGTCCTCACTTTTGAGATAAGTTGAAACGGAGAGTCAACGAGGCTCCGTCTTGCAGCTACATCCGGTTAAATATGTCATGTGACTTGAACGCACACACAGACACACACACACGCACACACACACACACACACACACACACACTCAGAGTCTGGTTTTTAGCACCTGCAAAAACATGCTATTTACATATTTGACAAGAATGCAGAGGCTCCTTTTGCCCCTGAAAAAAATCAAATTTCAAACACAACTTGACTGGTCATTTCTCCAAAAGACAACCATGAAGCTCCATCCAAACCTGAAGCAGGCAGTTGGTGCATGTGTACAGTAACCTGAGGGGAGTGAGGTGAGTGCTTCTGAGGAGAACATGAGCAGTGAAGATTCACCTTGGAGCTAGAACAGAGACATGCACATGATTATACAGGGGCAGGGGCTCAAGTTTTTTCCAGTCGTTTATACAATATGGAAATTAATGTGAAATTAAAACACAAAGTATTAATAGAAAGGTAATGACTGTCCTGTGTAGGTGACAGTGATATCCAATAGGCTAGGCACTCACGAGGCTGGCTGTGGCAAGTGTAAGTGAAAGCAACACGCACTGGCAAGAAGAACAGCAAACGCCGATGAAGGAAAAGGGTCTTTGCAGTGATGGGCGTTACCAGAGAGGGCGATGGCCAGAGGACACAAATGGGACGGGGAGGCAGCGCGTTGGGGGGGGGACGCGACACAGCTCGGGCCCGCCAGTGCCCCAACGGGGTCCTAGTTCTTTCTTTCTTTCTTCTTTTTCCTCCCCTTTGAACTGGAAAATGGCCCACTTCCCACTGGCGAAAACTCATGAAATTTGGCAGGATGACCGGGCCTGGTGAAAAATTTGATATTCCGAAGTCGCCCAAACAAGAAAATGCAAAATGACTCCATAGCGCCCCCTAAGGTGAAAATTCACACTATTGACTGTCACGCCTTTACGCTTTGTCAAAATGACACAAAAATTGACACACATATGTATCTCAATAAGATCTACAAAAAAAGTCAGTGCGGGCATATCTGTCAAATGTACGGTTAAAGGGTTATTCCGCATTTTTTGCCGATCCGCACACATTGGAATTTCGCTAACTCCTCCGAAGGCTTTCTTTCCACCGGCACCACATTTGCTCAGGCCAATCTACACCCCATGGCCATTAAAAGTTATTCAAATCATGACGCTGCACCCCACGGTTTAGGTTCTAGGGGGCGCCAAAGATAACCCTAAAATCCACATATTTCAAAGTCTTATAACTTTTTATTTTTGCCCTCACTGGCCTCCAAGTTTTCTAGGATGATGCAATGTCCAGCCATCAACACATTTGTGAAGGAATTTTTACTCCCCAAAAGAGCGCCCCCCATGGCAGGAGAAAAAAGTCAATTTTTTCTTGTCCCGTAAGGTGAAAATTCACATTGTTGAGTGTGACACCTGTACGCTTTGTCATATTGACACAAAATTTGACAATCACGTGTATCTCAATAAGATCTACGAAAAAGTCAATGGGTGCGTATCTGTCAAATGTACGGTTAGAGGGCTATTTTGCATTTTTTGCCGATTCGCACACATTGGAATGTGGCTAACTCCTCCTAAGGCTTTCGTCCCACTGAAACCAAATTTGCTCAGGCCAATCTACACCCCATGGCCATTCAAAGTTGTAAAAATCATGACGCTGCACCCCACGGTTTACGTTCTAGGGGGCGCCAAAGATGACCAAAAAATCCACATTCTTAAAAGAATCCACATTCTCCCCCCCCCCCCATGGCAGGAGAAAAAGTCAAGTTTTTCCTGCCCATCGCTCAATGGCTCAATCGCATCGCTCTCCAGGCAACACCGTAACGAGGAGCAACCTGCCATTTGGATATATCCCAGCTGTGTTTGTGCCCTCACTCATGGTCCAGACTTTTTTCAAATAGGACATGAAGTTTGTCTGCAGCGAGTGTTTTGGTAGAAACTGCGCCTCCCATTCATTATAATGGGAAATGACCACAGACAAGTGCGCACACCATCTTTGGACCTTGAGTGTGACGCGATCGGGAGGGGGAGGCGGTCACGCTGGGGGCGGCACGACGCGGCTCGGGCCCGACAGTGCCCCACCGGGGCCCTAGTTCTTTTTGTTCTGGTCTAACTTGCTCTCAAAGGTTGGAAAAGAGTTCCTACAAAGGTTTTGGACATTGATTTTAACCCTAACGCCAAAAACCTTAAACATTACCCTAGCCCAGAAACCTAGTATTACCTTCAGGAAGCCCGAACACCCAAAAAAAATTTTTTTTCATTTTACATTTTTTTTGGTGTAACCAACTCCAAAAGGTCTGAAACATGTTCCTAAAAAGGTTTTGGACAGTGATTTTAACCCTTACGCCAAAAACCTTAAACCTTACCCTAGCCCCATAACCTAATACCTGGGTATTACCTTCAGGAAGCCCGAACACCCCAAATATTTTTTTTTCATTTATCTTTTTTTTTTGTCTAACTAACTCCAAAAGGTTGGAAAAGACTTCCTACAAAGGTTTTGGACAGTGATTTTAACCCTCACGCCAAAAACCTTAAACCTTAACCTAGCCCCATAACCTAATACCCGGGTATTACCTTCAGGAAGCCAGAACACCCCAAATATATATTTTTTCTTTTTCTTTTTTTTTTTGGTCAAACTAGCTCCAAAAGGTCTGAAACATGTTCCTTAAAAAATATTGGACAGTGATTTTAACCCTTACGCCAAAAACCTTAAACCTAATCCTAGCCCCATAACCTAATACTTAAACCTGAAGGGTATTACCTTAAGGAAGCCTGAACACCCCAAATATTTTTTTTTTCATTTTACATTTTTTTTGGTGTAACCAACTCCAAAAGGTCTGAATCTTGTTCCTTAAAAGGTTTTGGACAGTGATTTTAACCCTAACGCCAAAAACCTTAAACCTTACCCTAGCCCCAAAACCTAATACCCGGGTATTACCTTCAGGAAGCTTGAACACCCCCAATTTTTTTTTTTTTCATTTTAAATTTTTTTTTGGTGTTACCAACTCCAAAAGGTCTGAAACATGTTCCTAAAAAGGTTTTGGACAGTGATTTTAACCCTAACGCCAAAAACCTTAAACCTAACCCTAGCCCCATAACCTCATTACCTTCAGGAAGCCCGAAGACCCCAAATATATTTTTTTCTTTTTTCTTTTTTTTTGGTCTAACTAACTCCAAAAGGTCGGAAAAGAGTTCCTACAAAGGTTTTGGACAGTGATTCTAACCCTAACACCAAAAACCTTAAACCTTACCCTAGCCCCAAAACCTAATACCCAGGTATTACCTTCAGGAAGCCCGAACACCCCAAATATTTTTGTTTTCTTTTTCTTTTTTTTTTGTCTAACTAACTCCCAAAGGTCTGAAACATGTTCCTTAAAAAATATTGGACAGTTATTTTAACCCTAACGCCAAAAACCTTAAACCTAACCCTAGCCCCAAAACCTAATACCCGGGTATTACCTTCACGAAGCCCGAACACCCCAAATATATATTTTTTCTTTTTCTTTTTTTTTGGTCAAACTAGCTCCAAAAGGTCTGAAACATGTTCCTTAAAAAATATTGGATAGTTATTTTAACCCTAACGCATTTACCTTTTTTTTTTTGTCTAACTAATTCCCAAAGGTTGGAAAAGAGTTCCTACAAAGGTTTTGGACCGTGATTTTTATCCTCAAGCTGAAAAACCTTAAACCTTACCCTAGCCCCATAACCTAATACCCGGGTATTACCTTCAGGAAGCCCGAACACCCCTTATATATTTTTTATTTTTCTTTTTGTTTTGGTCTAACTTGCTCTCAAAGGTTGGAAAAGAGTTCCTACAAAGGTTTTGGACATTGATTTTAACCCTAACGCCAAAAACCTTAAACATTACCCTAGCCCATTAACCTAGTATTACCTTCAGGAAGCCCGAACACCCAAAAAAAATTTTCTTTTCATTTTACATTTTTTTTGGTGTAACCAACTCCAAAAGGTCTGAAACATGTTCCTAAAAAGGTTTTGGACAGTGATTTTAACCCTTACGCCAAAAACCTTAAACCTTACCCTAGCCCCATAACCTAATACCCGGTTATTACCTTCAGGAAGCCCGAACACCCCAAATATTTTTTTTTCATTTATCTTTTTTTTTGTCTAACGAGCTCCAAAAGGTCTTAAACATGTTCCTAAAAAGGTTTTGGACATTGATTTTAACTCTAACGCCAAAAACCTTAAACCTTACCCTAGCCCCATAACCTAATACCCGGGTATTACCTTCAGGAAGCCCGAACACCCCAAATATTTTTGTTTTCTTTTTCTTTTTTTTTTGTTTAACTAACTCCCAAAGGTCTGAAACATGTTCCTTAAAAAATATTGGACAGTTATTTTAACCCTAACGCCAAAAACCTTAAACCTAACCCTAGCCCCAAAACCTAATACCCGGGTATTACCTCCACGAAGCCCGAACACCCCAAATATATATTTTTTTCTTTTTCTTTTTTTTTGGTCAAACTAGCTCCAAAAGGTCTGAAACATGTTCCTTAAAAAATATTGGATAGTTATTTTAACCCTAACGCATTTACCTTTTTTTTTTTGTCTAACTAATTCCCAAAGGTTGGAAAAGAGTTCCTACAAAGGTTTTGGACGGTGATTTTTATCCTCACGCTGAAAAACCTTAAACCTTACCCTAGCCCCATAACCTAATACCCGGGTATTACCTTCAGGAAGCCCGAACACCCCAAATATATTTTTTATTTTTCTTTTTGTTTTGGTCTAACTTGCTCTCAAAGGTTGGAAAAGAGTTCCTACAAAGGTTTTGGACATTGATTTTAACCCTAACGCCAAAAACCTTAAACATTACCCTAGCCCCATTAACCTAGTATTACCTTCAGGAAGCCCGAACACCCAAAAAAATTTTCTTTTCATTTTACATTTTTTTTGGTGTAACCAACTCCAAAAGGTCTGAAACATGTTCCTAAAAAGGTTTTGGACAGTGATTTTAACCCTTACGCCAAAAACCTTAAACCTTACCCTAGCCCCATAACCTAATACCCGGTTATTACCTTCAGGAAGCCCGAACACCCCAAATATTTTTTTTTCATTTATCTTTTTTTTTTTGTCTAACGAGCTCCAAAAGGTCTTAAACATGTTCCTAAAAAGGTTTTGGACATTGATTTTAACTCTAACGCCAAAAACCTTAAACCTTACCCTAGCCCCATAACCTAATACCCGGGTATTACCTTCAGGAAGCCCGAACACCCCAAATATATATTTTTTCTTTTTCTTTTTTTTTGGTCAAACTAGCTCCAAAAGGTCTGAAACATGTTCCTTAAAAAATATTGGATAGTTATTTTAACCCTTACGCCAAAAACCTTAAACGTAATCCTAGCCCCCTAACCTAATACTTAAACCTGAAGGGTATTACCTTCAGGAATCCCGAACACCCCAAATATTTTTTTTTCATTTTACATTTTTTTTGGTGTAACCAACTCCAAAAGGTCTGAATCTTGTTCCTTTAAAAGGTTTTGGACAGTGATTTTGACCCTAACGCCAAAAACCTTAAACCTTACCCTAGCCCCAAAAACCTAATACCCAGGTATTACCTTCAGGAAGCTTGAACACCCCAAATATTTTTTTTTCATTTTACATTTTTTTTTTGGTGTAACCAACTCCAAAAGGTCTGAAACATGTTCCTAAAAAGGTGTTGGACACTGATTTTAACTCTAACGCCAAAACCTTAAACCTTACCCTAGCCCCATAACCTAATACCCGGGTATTACCTTCAGGAAGCCCGAACACCCCAAATATTTTTTTTTCATTTATCTTTTTTTTTTGTCTAATTAACTCCAAAAGGTCTGAAACATGTTCCTTAAAAAATATTGGACAGTGATTTTAACCCTTACGCCAAAAACCTTAAACCTTAACCTAGCCCCATAACCTAATACCCGGGTATTACCTTCAGGAAGCCCGAACACCCCAAATATATATTTTTTCTTTTTCTTTTTTTTTTGGTCAAACTAGCTCCAAAAGGTCTGAAACATGTTCCTTAAAAAATATTGGATAGTGATTTTAACCCTAACGCCAAAAACCTTAAACCTAATCCTAGCCCCCTAACCTAATACTTAAACCTGAAGGGTATTACCTTCAGGAATCCCGAACACCCCAAATATTTTTTTTTTCATTTTACATTTTTTTTGGTGTAACCAACTCCAAAAGGTCTGAATCTTGTTCCTTTAAAAGGTTTTGGACAGTGATTTTGACCCTAACGCCAAAAACCTTAAACCTTACCCTAGCCCCAAAACCTAATACCCGGGTATTACCTTCAGGAAGCCCGAACACCCCAAATATTTTTTTTTCATTTTACATTTTTTTTTTGGTGTAACCAACTCCAAAAGGTCTGAAACATGTTCCTAAAAAGGTGTTGGACACTGATTTTAACTCTAACGCCAAAAACCTTAAACCTTACCCTAGCCCCATAACCTAATACCCGGGTATTACCTTCAGGAAGCCCGAACACCCCAAATATTTTTTTTTCATTTATCTTTTTTTTTTGTCTAATTAACTCCAAAAGGTCTGAAACATGTTCCTTAAAAAATATTGGACAGTGATTTTAACCCTTACGCCAAAAACCTTAAACCTAATCCTAGCCCCATAACCTAATACTTAAACCTGAAGGGTATTACCTTCAGGAAGCCCGAACACCCCAAATATATATTTTTTCTTTTTCTTTTTTTTTTTGGTCAAACTAGCTCCAAAAGGTCTGAAACATGTTCCTTAAAAAATATTGGACAGTGATTTTAACCCTTACGCCAAAAACCTTAAACCTAATCCTAGCCCCCTAACCTAATACTTAAACCTGAAGGGTATTACCTTCAGGAATCCCGAACACCCCAAATATTTTTTTTTTCATTTTACATTTTTTTTGGTGTAACCAACTCCAAAAGGTCTGAATCTTGTTCCTTTAAAAGGTTTTGGACAGTGATTTTGACCCTAACGCCAAAAACCTTAAACCTTACCCTAGCCCAAAACCTAATACCCAGGTATTACCTTCAGGAAGCTTGAACACCCCAAATATTTTTTTTTCATTTTACATTTTTTTTTGGTGTAACCAACTCCAAAAGGTCTGAAACATGTTCCTAAAAAGGTGTTGGACACTGATTTTAACTCTAACGCCAAAAACCTTAAACCTTACCCTAGCCCCATAACCTAATACCCGGGTATTACCTTCAGGAAGCCCGAACACCCCAAATATTTTTTTTTCATTTATCTTTTTTTTTTGTCTAATTAACTCCAAAAGGTCTGAAACATGTTCCTTAAAAAATATTGGACAGTAATTTTAACCCTTACGCCAAAAACCTTAAACCTAATCCTAGCCCCATAACCTAATACTTAAACCTGAAGGGTATTACCTTCAGGAAGCCCGAACACCCCAAATATTTTTTTTGTCATTTTACATTTTTTTTGGTGTAACCAACTCCAAAAGGTCTGAATCTTGTTCCTTAAAAGGTTTTGGACAGTGATTTTAACCCTAACGCCAAAAACCTTAAACCTTACACTAGCCCCAAAACCTAATACCTTCAGGAAGCCCGAAAACCCCAAATATTTTTTTTCTTTTTTCTTTTTTTTTGGTCGAACTAACTCCAAAAGGTCTGAAACATGTTCCTTAAAAAATATTGGACAGTGATTTTAACCCTAACGCCAAAAACCTTAAACCTAATCCTAGCCCCAAAACCTAATACCCGGGTATTACCTTCAGGAAGCCCGAACACCCCAAATATTTTTTTTTCATTTTTCATTTTTTTTTGGTCTAACTAACTCCAAAAGGTTGGAAAAGACTTCCTACAAAGGTTTTGGACAGTGATTTTAACTCTCACGCCAAAAGCCTTAAACCTTTCCAAAGCCCCATAACCTAATACCCGGGTATTACCTTCCGGAAGCCCGAACACCCCAAATATTTTTTTTTAATTTTTCGTTTTTTTTTTTGTCTAACTAACACAAAAAGGTTTGAAAAGAGGTCCTACAAAGGTTTTGGACAGTGATTTTAACCCTCACTACAAAAACCTTAAACCTTAACCTAGCCCCATAACCTAATACCCGGGTATTACCTTCAGGAAGCCCGAACACCCCAAATAAATATTTTTTCTTTTTCTTTTTTTTTGGTCTAACTAACTCCAAAAGGTCTGAAACATGTTCCTTAAAAAATATTGGACAGTGATTTTAACCCTTACGCCAAAAACCTTAAACCTAATCCTAGCCCCATAACCTAATACTTAAACCTGAAGGGTATTACCTTCAGGAAGCCCGAACACCCCAAATATATTTTTTTTCATTTTACATTTTTTTTGGTGTAACCAACTCCAAAAGGTCTGAATCTTGTTCCTTAAAAGGTTTTGGACAGTGATTTTAACCCTAACGCCAAAAACCTTAAACCTTACCCTAGCCCCAAAACCTAATACCCGGGTATTACCTTCAGGAAGCTTGAACACCCCAAATATTTTCTTTTTCATTTTACATTTTTCTTTGGTGTTACCAACTCCAAAAGGTCTGAAACATGTTCCTACAAAGGTTTTGGACGGTGATTTTAACCCTAACGCCAAAAACCTTTAACCTTACTATAGCCCCATAACCTAATACCCGGGTATTACCTTCAGGAAGCCCGAAGACCCCAAATATTTTTTTTTTCATTTTACATTTTTTTTGGTGTAACCAACTCCAAAAGGTCTTAAACATGTTCCTAAAAAGGTTTTGGACACTGATTTTAACTCTAACGCCAAAAACCTTAAACCTTACCCTAGCCCCATAACCTAATACCCGGGTATTACCTTCAGGAAGCCCAAAAACCCCAAATATTTTTTTTTCATTTTTCGTTTTTTTTTGGTCTAACTAACTCCAAAAGGTTGGAAAAGAGTTCCTACAAAGGTTTTGGACAGTGATTTTAACCCTAACGCCAAAAACCTTTAACCTTACTATAGCCCCATAACCTAATACCTGGGTATTTCCTTCAGGAAGCCCGAACACCCCAAATATATATTTTTTCATTTTACATTTTTTTTTGGTGTAACCAACTCCAAAAGGTCTGAAACATGTTCCTAAAAAGGTTTTGGACAGTGATTTTAACCCTAACGCCAAAAACCTTAAACCTTACCCTAGCCCCATAACCTAATACCCGGGTATTACCTTCAGGAAACCCGAACACCCCAAATATTTTTTTTTTCTTTTTCTTTTTTTTTTTTGTCTAACTTACTCCCAAAGTTCTGAAACATGTTCCTTAAAAAATATTGGACAGTTATTTTGACCCTAACGCCAAAAACCTTAAACCTAACCCTAGCCCCAAAACCTAATACCCGGGTATTACCTTCAGGAAGCCCGAACACCCCAAATATATATTTTTATTTTTATTTTTGTTTTGGTCTAACTTGCTCTCAAAGGTTGGAAAAGAGTTCCTACAAAGGTTTTGGACACTGATTTTAACCCTAACGCCAAAAACCTTAAACATTACCCTAGCCCAGAAACCTAGTATTACCTTCAGGAAGCCCGAACACCCAAAAAAAATTTTTTTTCATATTACATTTTTTTTGGTGTAACCAACTCCAAAAGGTCTGAATCTTGTTCCTTAAAAGGTTTTGGACAGTGATTTTAACCCTAACGCCAAAAACCTTAAACCTTACACTAGCCCCAAAACCTAATACCTTCAGGAAGCCCGAAAACCCAAAATATTTTTTTTCTTTTTTCTTTTTTTTTTGGTCGAACTAACTCCAAAAGGTCTGAAACATGTTCCTTAAAAAATATTGGACAGTGATTTTAACCCTAACGCCAAAAACCTTAAACCTAATCCTAGCCCCAAAACCTAATACCCGGGTATTACCTTCAGGAAGCCCGAACACCCCAAATATATATTTTTTCTTTTTCTTTTTTCTTTTGGTCTAACTAACTCCAAAAGGTCTGAAACATGTTCCTTAAAAAATATTGGACAGTGATTTTAACCCTAACGCCAAAAACCTTAAACCTAATCCTAGCCCCATAACCTAATACCCGGGTATTACCTTCAGGAAGCCCGAACACCCCAAATATTTTTTTTTTCATTTTACATTTTTTTTTGGTGTAACCAACTCCAAAAGGTCTGAAATCTTGTTCCTTAAAAGGTTTTGGACAGTGATTTTAACCCTAACGCCAAAAACCTTAAACCTTACCCTAGCCCCAAAACCTAATACCCGGGTATTACCTTCAGGAAGCCCGAACACCCCAAATATTTTTTTTTCATTTTACATTTTTTTTTGGTGTTACCAACTCCAAAAGGTCTGAAACATGTTCCTACAAAGGTTTTGGACAGTGATTTTAACCCTAACGCCAAAAACCTTAAACCTTACTATAGCCCCATAACCTAATACCTGGGTATTTCCTTCAGGAAGCCCGAAGACGCCAAATATTTTTTTTTTCATTTTACATTTTTTTTGGTGTAACCAACTCCAAAAGGTCTTAAACATGTTCCTAAAAAGGTGTTGGACACTGATTTTAACTCTAACGCCAAAAACCTTAAACCTAACCCTAGCCCCAAAACCTAATACCCGGGTATTACCTTCAGGAAGCCCGAACACCCCAAATATATATTTTTATTTTTATTTTTGTTTTGGTCTAACTTGCTCTCAAAGGTTGGAAAAGAGTTCCTACAAAGGTTTTGGACATTGATTTTAACCCTAACGCCAAAAACCTTAAACCTTACCCTAGCCCAGAAACCTAGTATTACCTTCAGGAAGCCCGAACACCCAAAAAAAATTTTTTTTCATTTTACATTTTTTTTGGTGTAACCAACTCCAAAAGGTCTGAATCTTGTTCCTTTAAAGGTTTTGGACAGTGATTTTAACCCTAACGCCAAAAACCTTAAACCTTACACTAGCCCCAAAACCTAATACCTTCAGGAAGCCCGAAAACCCAAAATATTTTTTTTCTTTTTTCTTTTTTTTTTTGGTCGAACTAACTCCAAAAGGTCTGAAACATGTTCCTTAAAAAATATTGGACAGTGATTTTAACCCTAACGCCAAAAACCTTAAACCTAATCCTAGCCCCAAAACCTAATACCCGGGTATTACCTTCAGGAAGCCCGAACACCCCAAATATATATTTTTTTCTTTTTCTTTTTTTTTTTGGTCAAACTAGCTCCAAATGGTCTGAAACATGTTCCTTAAAAAATATTGGACAGTGATTTTAACCCTTACCCCAAAAACCTTAAACCTAATCCTAGCCCCATAACCTAATACTTAAACCTGAAGGGTATTACCTTCAGGAAGCCCGAACACCCCAAATATTTTTTTTTTTCATTTTACATTTTTTTTGGTGTAACCAACTCCAAAAGGTCTGAACTTGTTCCTTAAAAGGTTTTGGACAGTGATTTTAACCCTAACGCCAAAAACCTTAAACCTTACCCTAGCCCCAAAACCTAATACCCGCGTATTACCTTCAGGAAGCCCGAACACCCCAAATATTTTTTTTTCATTTTACATTTTTTTTGGTGTTACCAACTCCAAAAGGTCTGAAACATGTTCCTACAAAGGTTTTGGACGGTGATTTTAACCCTAACGCCAAAAACCTTTAACCTTACTATAGCCCCATAACCTAATACCTGGGTATTTCCTTCAGGAAGCCCGAAGACGCCAAATATTTTTTTTTTCATTTTACATTTTTTTTGGTGTAACCAACTCCAAAAGGTCGGAAAAGAGTTCCTACAAAGGTTTTGGACAGTGATTTTAACCCTAACGCCAAAAACCTTAAACCTTACCCTAGCCCCAAAACCTAATACCTTCAGGAAACCCGAACACCCCAAATATTTTTTTTTCTTTTTCTTTTTTTTTCGTCTAACTAACTCCCAAAGGTCTGAAACATGTTCCTTAAAAAATATTGGACAGTGATTTTAACCCTAACGCCAAAAACCTTAAACCTTACCCTAGCCCCATAACCTAATACCCGGGTATTACCTTCAGGAAACCCGAACACCCCAAATATATTTTTTTCATTTTTCTTTTTTTTTGTCTAACTAACTCCCAAAGGTCTGAAACATGTTCCTTAAAAAATATTGGACAGTTATTTTAACCCTAACGCCAAAAACCTTAAACCTAACCCTAGCCCCAAAACCTAATACCCGGGTATTACCTTCAGGAAGCCCGAACACCCCAAATATATATTTTTTTATTTTTCTTTATTTTTGGTCTAACTTGCTCTCAAAGGTTGGAAAAGAGTTCCTACAAAGGTTTTGGACATTGATTTTAACCCTAACGCCAAAAACCTTAAACATTACCCTAGCCCAGAAACCTAGTATTACCTTCAGGAAGCCCGAACACCCAAAAAAAATTTTTTTTCATTTTACATTTTTTTTGGTGTAACCAACTCCAAAAGGTCTGAAACATGTTCCTAAAAAGGTTTTGGACAGTGATTTTAACCCATACGCCAAAAACCTTAAACCTTACCCTAGCCCCATAACCTAATACCCGGGTATTACCTTCAGGAAGCCCGAACACCCCAAATATTTTTTTTTCATTTTTCTTTTTTTTTTTTTTGGTCTAACTAACTCCAAAAGGATGGTAAAGAGTTCCTACAAAGGTTTTGGACAGTGATTTTAACCCTCACGCCAAAAACCTTAAACCTTACCTTAGCCCCTAACCTAATACCCGGGTATTACCTTCAGGAAGCCCGAACACCCCAAATATATTTTTTTCATTTTTCATTTTTTTTGGTCTAACTAACTCCAAAAGGTCTGAAACATGTTCCTAAAAAGGTTTTGGACAGTGATTTTAACCCATACGCCAAAAGCCTTAAACCTTACCCTAGCCCCATAACCTAATACCCGGGTATTACCTTCAGGAAGCCCGAACACCCCAAATTTTTTTTTTCTTTTTTCTTTTTTTTCTAGTCTAGCTCCCTCCAAAACGTTGGAAAAGAGTTCCTAAAAAGGTTTTGGACATTGATTTTAACGCTAACGCCAAAAACCTTTAACCTTTTCCTAGCCCTGTAACATAATATATACATAATATTGCTCTACAAACACATAGTCTAAAAGATAGACAGCATAGCATACCAACTGAGCTGAGTCATTAAACTTTCTACCAACACATAATTTTTACACACAGATTGAGCTCGGAGACTCGACTGGAACATGTGACAGGTCGACATGCGCCGGCCAGTGCAAGCCCTTGATCAGCCTACCTCAAACCGCCAAGTCAACTGACGAAAGCGGGGGCTATCACTCTATCTCTTTCCCACACCTAACCAGCCACTTACCTTCGGACAGACTTGTCACAATATCATTCAGAGAATAGTCTGAGCCCATGCTCCTTCTGTGCACACAATCTCTCACCCCCCCCCCCCCCTTTATAGAATCTAAGATCTTCCAGTTTCAAGGGTGAGAGTGAATTCCAAAGAATCCTCCACCTTGGAACCTATACTACCACTACATTCCTCAGAAGACTAAACAAAAAACATCTAAACCCTAACAGCAATGACGAAAAGATAAATACTTTTCAAGACAAATTAACTCCTGACCCCACCCTGCCTCCCTCCTTTTCTCCCTCTCTCCTGATCTGTACCTCTCTCTCCTATCAGAGGATGAAAATCAGCAGGTGAGGAGAGTCTCAATGGCGAGTCACGGTGGCAAGATCTATTCTCTTTCTATCACTCGAATCCCTGCATGAGCAGAATGGTGCCAGATGGACCACCTGCTCCCACCACAATCCTCTGTGACTTTTTGACTCTATCCACTTTTAGAACTTAAAATAGTAATCAATGATCAACTGACCAACTCAGCTCAAATCAAACCCAAAACTCTGCCTAGAGAACTCTCACTTCCACGTTTACATATCTCTTTGTATCTTGTGAGGACCGTGAGGAGAGCAGAGCCTAGACCTAGTCGGGTCAGGTGACTATGTCCCTTGCTCACTCTCCTCACATGGATGGTGAGAGCTGGGGAGCTATGGGATGTTTCATCCGCCACCAAATCCCCCTCACCAATCTTTATTTTCCACCATCTCCACCTCTCCCTTAAACCCCCCTCTCCCTCTTCCCTCTCTCTCTCTCTCTCTCTCTCTCTCACACCCCCCCCCTCTCTCTCTCTCTCTCCCTCATCTCTCTCCCTCATCTCTCCCCCTCTCTCTAACACCCCCCCTCTTTCTTATTCCCTCCCCTGCCCCTTTATTTTCACCTTCACAGAGGACAAATAGGTGATCTTCAGCCTCGGCCTACCCCAGCCGGGGGTAACCCCTGTTGGGTCACCTATATTGAGGATTAAGAGAGACCTGAAGGGGAACCGCCGTGCCACCTAAATCCTCCCCCTCTAACATCTTTTTTAACACTCTAAAATTAGCCAGCTAACCCCACTACAAACAACTTCATCAAAAATTTGAATAATAAATACTTATTGATAACTGACCATCAGTGACACCAGACTAAGCTAGTAAAAAAGAACACACATACACGTGCAGATTTTCCCTTAGGACATTGATCAAATTTACATTTCTGTCTGTCTTTTAGGGAACTGTTCTCTGTTTTTAAGCTCACTTCTGTTTTTTGCTATTTGCTCTTGACACTTCTTTTTTTCCTTTTTTCTTCTCCTTTCCCTTTTGCAATCCACTTTTGTTCTTCTTTTATTTTTTATTTTTTCATTGTTTTATATTATTTTGTTTTATTTTATTTCATTTTAGGGTTCCTGTGCTTTTGTTTGTCTTCCCCCCTCCCCTCTTTTTTCTTAGGAAGGACTGACTCCTGAGGTTCTCATGCCAGGAAAAATGTACCTCCCTCACTCACGGTTTTACCCACAATCCTTTGCTGCAACAGGGAGATTGATTCCCAAGGCTCTCATGGCAGAAAGGAAGTACCTCACTCACTCACGGTTTTACCCACAATCCTTTGCTGTAACAGGAAGATTGATTCCTTAGGCTCTCATCCCTCAGAACTAAAATACCCACAATCCCTTACGATTGCATACAAATTTAATGTAGCAAAACTAAATTTAAAACAAATAAACTACATTAAAATTAACTTAAAACAACTTGAAAGTTTAAAATACAACCAAGAGACATCCATTCTGGAATACAAACATCGAGAAGAGAACACAACCATGTCTGAGAGGAACAGCACAAACCATGACTCGAGCCCAACTCTGGGGATGTCGTCTCCTGTCAAAAGCACATTTAAGTGCTGTGCACTAAAGAGCAATTCCTGTTGCTGTAATTGAGACAAAGCACTGACCACTGTACCAAGAAGACCGACCACCGCCTTGAGGAAGACGCCGCGCCGCCACCTGAAAGAAGACGCCGCACCTCCATCACTCCAAGCCGCCCACCACCGAGCTTTGACCCGCCGACGGCACCGAGTCTCGGCAAACCTTGCCGCGGAGGACCCCGGACTTCAGACACACCGCTGCCGCCGCGGCTGGACAGCTGGAACCTTTTCCCCCTCCAACAGATTTTAGACTACTGGAAAAGAAACGCCTCACATCAACAACAACATAGGACCACTAGTGTAAGTCTACAAAAAACCTCTCAAACACCTCAAAATTACTCTAAATAGTTAGTTTTGTTTTTGTACTTGAGTTTGTGTCATGTTTGAAGTTTGTGACAACTTATGAACTTGAGTTTGTTTCGCTTGATTTTTTGGCAATTGTTGAACTTGAGTCTTTGGTTTTTAGTGAACTTTAGTTGGTGGCAATTGTTGAACTTGAGTTTGTGGCGTTTGTTGAACTTGAGTTTGTGGCGTTTGTTGAACTTGAGTTTGTGGCAATTGTAAACATTGAGTCTGTATTTTTCTCTGAACATTAGTTGGTGGCAATTGTTGAACTTGAGTTCGTGTGTTTGTTGAACTTGAGTTTTTGTCGTTTAGAACTTGAGTTTGTGGTGTTTTTGAACTTGAGGTTTTGGCAAATGTTAAACTTGATATTTGGGTGTTGTTTGAACTTGAGTTTGTGTCATGTTTGAACTTGAGTTTGTGTCGTGTTTGAACTTGAGTTTGTGTCGTGTTTGAACTTGAGTTTGTGTCATGTTTGAACTTGAGTGTTGTGTTTGAACTTGAGTTTGTTGCAATTTTTGAACTTGAGTCTTTGGTTTTTAGTGAACTTTATTTGGTGGCAATTGTTAAACTTGAGTTTGTGTGTTTGTTGAACCCGAGTTTGTGTCGTGTTTGAACTTGAGATTTTGCTGTTTTGTGATCTTGAATTTGTGTGGGTTTTTTTTAACTTGAGTTTTTGGTGTTTTTGAATTTGAGTTTCTGTTGTTTTTGAACATGAGGTTGTGGCAATTTGTTAAACTTGAGATTTGGGTGTTGGTTGAAATTAAGTTTCGGCATTTTTGAACTTGAGTTTGTGGTGTTTTTGAACTTGAATTTGTGTGTTTTTTGAACCTGAGTTTGTTGAACTTGAGTTTTTGGCAATTCTTTAATGTTAATATAGGTTATTTGTTGAATTTGAAATTTTGGCATTTTTTGAACTTAAGCTTGTGGTGTTTGTTGAACTTGAGTTTGTGGCAATTGTTAACATTGAGTCTGTATTTTTCTCTGAACATTAGTTGGTGGCAATTGTTGAACTTGAGTTCGTGTGTTTGTTGAACTTGAGTTTTTGTCGTTTAGAACTTGAGTTTGTGGTGTTTTTGAACTTGAGGTTTTGGCAAATGTTAAACTTGATATTTGGGTGTTGTTTGAACTTGAGTTTGTGTCGTGTTTGAACTTGAGTTTGTGTCGTGTTTGAACTTGAGTTTGTGTCGTGTTTGAACTTGAGTTTGTGTCGTGTTTGAACTTGAGTTTGTGTCATGTTTGAACTTGAGTGTTGTGTTTGAACTTGAGTTTGTTGCAATTTTTGAACTTGAGTTTTGAACTTGAGTCTTTGGTTTTTAGTGAACTTTATTTGGTGGCAATTGTTAAACTTGAGTTTGTCGCGTGTTTGAACTTGAGTTTGTGTTGTTTTTTCACTTGAGGTTTTGGCAATTGTTAATCTTTAGATTTGGGTGTTGGTTGAACTTAAAACTTTGACATTTGTTGAACTTGACTTTGTGGTGTTCATTTAACTTGAGTTTGTGGTGTTTTTGAACTTGAATTTTTGTGTTTTTTTTAACTTGAGTTTGTGGTGTTTTTGAACTTGAATTTGTGTGTTTTTTGAACTTGAGGTTGTTGCAATTTTTGAACTTGAGTTTGTTGAACTTGAGTTTTTGGCAATTGTTAAATGTGAGTTTAGGTCATTTGTTGAATTTGAAATTTTGGCATTTTTTGGACTTAAGATTGTGGTGTTTGTTGAACTTGAGTTTGTGGCAATTGTTGAACTTGAGTCTGTATTTTTCCCTGAACTTTAGTTTGAATTTTTGTGTGTTTTTTGAATTTAAGTTTGTGGCAATTGTTAAACTTGAGTTTGTGTGTTTGTTTAACTTGAGTTTGTGGCGTGTTTTGACTTGAGTTTCTGTTGTTTTTGAACTTGAGGTTGTGGCAATTGTCAAACTTGAGATTTGGGATTTGGTTGAACTTGAGTTTGTGTCGTGTTTGAACTTTGGTTTGTGGTGCTTTTTAACTTGAGTTTGTGGCGGTGTTGAGCTTGAGTTTGTGGCGTGTTTTAACCTGAATTTTTGTTGTTTTTCTTACTTGAGGCTTCGGCAATTGTTAAACTTTAGATTTGGGTGTTGGTTGAACTTAAAACTTTGACATTTATTGAACTTATGTATGTGGTGTTCATTGAACTTCAGTTTTTGTCTTGTTTGAACTTGACTTTGTGGTGTTTTTGAACTTGAGTTGGTGGTGTTTTTGAACTTGAGTTGGTGGAAATTGTTGAACTTGAGAATTGGGTGTTGGTTGAACTTGAGTTTGTGGTGTTTTTGAACTTGAGTTTGAGTTTGTTTGTTTGTTGAACTTGAGTTCGTGGCGTGTTTGAACTTGAGTTTGTGTTCTTTTTGAACTTGAGGTTGTGGAAATTGTTAAACTCGTCTCCTTGAGCCATCATGAAGGCGGAGGTGGCGGGGGTAGAGCAGCAATGAACAAACCTCCCCTGGAACAGGAGCGCTTTAAGGACAGCGGAGCAATTAGCTGGCACGAGGGTGGAGCTGGTGTGGCAGTGTGTTGCTGGTTTGCTGTCAGAGCAGAGGAAGAGGCTGGGTTAGTGCAGTTTTAAATAAGGCACTCTATAGGCAAAGAACCAATAGGATCTAGGTGTGAATCAGCTGATTATCATCTGGTTGAGGTGGCTACTAGCCATTGGCTGTGGATCAGCGCTTGACGTTGTGTCCTGACAGAACTAACGCTATGCTTCATTTCAGTCAGGTACACTTTGTCCAAATTTTTAGCTTTATTGTGCAAGTTAGATTTGGCGGCATGATTCTGTTCCGGGTCCCTGCCCTTCCACGCGCTTGTGTGGAAGCCCAAGGCAGGAAGAGCCCCTTCCTGCCTTTCACGAGCCATCATGAAAGGCGATAGCAGGGAGCGCACGCGAGGTTCTGTTCAGGGCCCCCGTTCTCCACGTTGGCAGGGGTGAAAGGCCAGCGGCAGGAAGAGCACCTTCCCGCCCTCCACGTGCCATCATGAAGGCGGAGGAGGCAGGGGTAGAGCAGCAATGAACAGAACCCCCCAAAACAACCATGCCGTGCAGTCTAGGAGCTAGCAGGGGAGGTGAGCGCTGCTGAAAGAAAGACGGGTTAGAGAGACCCGTTGCCCAAGCATGGATATTTATCTGCAGGTTGTTTATATATTTCATTTAATTAGCATCTATGTGCCAAAGTTATGGGTACTCATAGTTTTTGGGCTTCGAGAATGTCCCGAGCCTCGGGGCGCAGATAGCGTTTGTACACAGCTGACGACTATTGGCCCATGGCTTTGAGGGTCGACACAGGAGCCGTCATAGCTGCGGTTGTAGCTGCACCTATGTGAAAGGAATGAGCCGTGTAGCGATCTGAAGGATGTGTGGAGGGCGATCAGCTAAACTGTCATCTGACTGAGGGCTAGCTTAAGATCAGCTGGCTTTAACCTTTAGCTTGACTGTACCTTGTGTCCTGCCTGAACTACAGTCATGCTTAATTTCAGTCAGGACTACTTTAGTTAGAATCAATTATTTATTACTAGCAAAAAATCTTTTAACATTGTCGGTATGGCTCTGTTCTGAGAGTTCCCTGCTCTCTCATGCGCTTGCATAGAATCCCAAGGCAATGAGAGGGAATGCCCTCCCCTCCCTTTCATGTGCATATATGAAAAGCCAAGGCAGAAAAAGCAGCAGCCATACTGGCAACCCTCCCCAGCTTTCATGAGCTACATGAAGGCACCTACAGGGGAGGGAGGGCAGCCAGCAGCGAGAAACTATGAAGCAACCTACCCACCTACAAAGCTTACATAGTATTGGTTACCCTCACAACATGATCATGGATCAGGATTAATTTAATCCATACACAAATTTATAGTTGGGAATATGCGTAATGCAATAGATATGGGAAAGAATTAAGGAGCAGCAGCAATTTTTTTTTTTGTAGCTAATCGAGCATAGGAATATTCTAATAATAATAATATATTAGCCTTGGGCCTGAGGTATCATTCAAAGGCTGATCGGGACCATTGACCCGTGGCCCTGAGCGTCGAGACGGGGACGATGGAAGATGCAGTTGTAGCTGTGCCTATGCGTGGTGAATGCGTAGAGTTGTACTCAGGTAGGAGCCAACAGGATTGGCCGAGCAGGCAGAGGTGAGCAGAAAGCTGCAATCTGGATATAGGTTTCCCTTCTTCAGTGGCAAAGAGAGACTCTTGCTGGCTGGCCAGTGGCCGGCCTCTCAGGCAGCGGGACATGGAGGATAAAGAACAAAGACAGAGTTAGTTTTGGAAATATTAGAAAAAAAAAAAAAGTGCGAGATTCAAAACTGTGGACTATTAAAGCACATACAATGGATATATTTAGGGCGTTGGGGCTACAGAGAAGGTGGTACAAAAGAGGTAAAGTGAGACCATGCAGAATCGTATAAACTTTAATGCTGATTTTGCTTAACCAGCTCTCAAGTAGCTGTCAACAGAGAGCACTAAGGATTGCAAGGCTGCACTCAGACTAACACAGTCTGAATGAATGGCTTCACGAACAGCCGTTGGGATGCTTTGCCAGTGCCTTCCCCGGCTCAAGGACATTTGACAGAGTAGACAGCTTTGTTTTTTCCCGTTTTACCAGGTGGGTGCGTCATGGGCATGCTGATTTCAGATGCCCGTCCCTGGAGTAACTTGGCTTCTCCGAGTAGTAGGCTTAGAGAGGCTTGGGTGGTTGGCCTGTAGCCACAGTTTTAGGGCACCGATTAGAGGTGTGGGCAGGGGTGGACAAGGTAGGATAAGGTTCCTCCAGGTACTGTACCCGTAGACTTTGTACAAGAGGAGCACACCCAAGTTAAGCGAGTTGCTGACTCCGATGCCACAGTATCATCATCTGCTGTATCTCTCTCTTAAACATAAAATTATTATTATTATTATTATTATTATTATTATTATTATTATTTTCCTCTGCATTTTGTCTTATTTCTGCATTAAGATTGAAGCAGCTGACTCTTTAAAAGTTCCCTCCTTCCGCAAAAGGCGGAAGGCGGGCCCCTGCACCTAGGCAACCAGCGTCCAATCAAAAGTGCGCACTGGTGCTCCCACTTGGAGTTTATTTGTAAGCAAATACCACTCACTCTCAAGCGGCATGGTCCTATTGGATTACTTCGGTTATAACGCAGAGTGCAGACTGATGTGCAGCAACAGACTAAGCCTAGATACATGACAGGGGTGAAAACTTTAAACAGCTGATTATGTCTTCCCGAAATGGCGTACTGCTGCGTAATGGCTTACTTTCACCTCCAGGTGAGAGAAACACCCGCAGATTAAGCAGGAAAAAGCTTGATGCTCGGTGAATTGTTAACTGATTAGAGCCAGGTCGACTACGGACTGATCAAGTCTTTGGCTGAATCTTTGAATGTACTTAGCAGCTTTGCTGAAAATGATTTGTAATGTTCCTAGAATAATGATCCTCCCTATGTCATGGCTGAATCAGAAATAATGGCAAGATATGTGTCCAGTTCAGTTCTGCGTGCTGAAAACAATTTACATATGACATCTACAAATATGCTGAAAGCTATGAATTCAGCCAAGGTCGGAGATTTAAACAGCCGGGCATCACGATATTTAAGCATCACAGGCTCATCTCCGCAATCCACAATGCGTCTATCATTGTAGTCTGAGCACAGCAAGACTAATGTCAGTACCTGCAAGGATTTGGCTCCGCGGATTAGGTGTAATTGCAGCCGCGACCAGGTCGCGTCGCGTGGTGCTCTGGTGTGTTCACACCGGGTCCAAAGCTGCGGTCGCAGGACACGGCTGGTCGCTGCTGACCCGCTTCTCCTACCTTCCATCTCCCTCCTTTTCTCCCTCATATATACATCCCGCAGCCCAGTTCAAATATTTGAACTTTGGGAGCGACGAGACTTGGCGTCCTGCGACCTCGGCAACGCGACGCAGGTAGCCAGCGGTCGCCAAGTCGCGTCAGTTCGCGGCTGTCCATAGACTTTGCATTGGGAGCCATCGCCGACGTCACCGAAGTCGCGTTTGGTCTGAACACCCCTTAACGCTAAGCTTCATATTTGGGTATTGGTTGACTTGAGTTTCTGTGTTTGTTGAACTTGAGTTTGTGACATGTTTGAACTTGAATTTGTGGTGTTTTTGAACTTGAGTTTGTGTGTTTGTTGAACTTGAGTTTTAGGCGTGTTTGAACTTGAGTTTGTGTTGTTTTTGAACTTGAGGTTTTGGCAAATGTTAAACTTGAGATTTGGGTGTTGGTTGAACTTGAGTTTGTGTCGTATTTGAACTTGATTTTTTTGCAATTTTTGAACTTGAGTTTGAACTTGAGGTTGTGGAAATTGTTAAACTTGAGAATTGGGTATTGATTGAACTTGAGTTTGTGTGTTTGTTGAACTTCAGTTTGTCTCGTGTTTGAACTTGAGTTTCTGTTGTTTTTGAACTTGAGGTTGTGGCAATTGTTAAACTTGAGATTTGGGTGTTGGTTGAACTTGAGGTTGTGTCATGTTTGAACTTGAGTTTGTGGTGTTTTTGAACTTGAGTATGTGTGGTTTTTTAACTTAGTTTTGTGGCAATTGTTAAACTTGAGATTTGGGTGTTGGTTGAGCTTGGGTTTGTGGTGTTTTTGAACTTGAGTTTGTGTCTTTGTTGAACTTGAGTTTGTGGCGTGTTTTAACTTGAGTTTCTGTTGTTTTTGAACTTGAGGTTGTGGCAATTGTTGAACTTGAGATTTGGGTGTTGGTTGAACTTGAGTTTGTGTCATGTTTGAACTTGAGTTTGTGGTGTTTTTGAACTTGAGTTTGTGTGGTTTTTTAACTTAGTTTTGTGGCAATTGTTAAACTTGAGATTTGGGTGTTGGTTGAACTTGGGTTTGTGGTGTTTTTGAACTTGAGTTTGTGTCTTTGTTGAACTTGAGTTTGTGGCGTGTTTTAACTTGAGTTTCTGTTGTTTTTGAACTTGAAGTTGTGGAAATTGTTGAACTTGAGATTTGGGATTTGGTTGAACTTGACTTTGTTTCATGTTTGAACTTGAGTTTGTGTGTTTTTTGAACTTGAACTTGTGTGTTTTTTGAACTTGAGTTTGTGTTGTTAAAAACTTGAGTTTGTGGTGTTTTTGAACTTGGGTTTGTGTGTTTGTTGAACTTGAGGTTGTGGCAATTGTTAGACTTGATATTTGGGTGTTGGTTGAACTTCAAACTTTGGAATTTGTTGATCTTGGGTTTGTGGTGTTCGTTGAATTCAGTTTCAGCATTTTTTTAACTTGAGTTTGTGTGTTTTTGAACTTGAGTTTGTGGCAATTTTTGAACTTGAGTTTGTTGAACTTGAGTTTTTGGCAGTTGTTAAATGTGAGTTTAGGTCATTTGTTGAACTTGAGTTTGTGGCAATTGTTGAACTTGAGTCTGTATTTTTCACTGAACTTTAGTTTGTAGCGTTTGTTGTACTTGATTTTGTGTCTTGTTTGAACTTGAGTTGGGGGTGTTTCTGAACTTTAGGTTGTGGCAATTGTTGAACTTGAGGATTGTGTGTTTGTTGAACTTGAGTTTGTGGCGTGTTTGAACTTGAGTTTCTGTTGTTTTTGAACTTGCGGTTTTGGATATTGTTTAATTTGAGATTTGAGTGTTGGTTGAACTTGACTTTGTCATGTTTGAACTTGAGTTTGTGGTGTTTTTGAACTAGAGTTTGTGTGTTTTTTGAACTTAAGTTTTCTGTCAATTGTTGAACTTGTTGAATTTTTGTTGTTTTTGAACTTGAGTTTGTGACATATTTGATCTTGAGTTTGTGGTGTTTTTGAACTTGAGTTTGCATGTTTGGTGAACTTAAGTTTGTGTGTTTGTTGAACTTGAGTTTGTGTCGTCTTTGAACTTCAGTTTGTGTCGTTTTTGAACTTGAGTTTGAATTTTTTTGAACTTGAGTTTGTGTTGTGTTTGAACTTGAGTTGCATGTTTGGTGAACTTGAGTTTGTGTGTTTTTTGAACTTGAGTTTCTGTTGTTTTTGAACTTGAGGTTGTGGAAATTGTTAAACTTGAGAATCAGGTGTTTGAACTTGAGTTAGTCTGTTTGTTGAACTTGAGTTTTTTGTCGTGTTTGAACTTGAGTTTGTGGTGTTTTTGACCTTGAGTTTTTGTGTTTGTTGAACCTGAGTTTCTGTTGTGTTTGAACTTAAGTTGCGTGTTTGGTGAACTTGAGTTTGTGTGTTTTTTGAACTTGAATTTCTGTTGTTCTTGAACTTGAGGTTGTGGAAATGGTTAAACTTGAGAATCAGGTGTTGGTTGAACTTGAGTTGCGTGTTTGGTGAACTTGAGTTTGTATTGTCTTTGAACTTGAGTTTTTTTTTGTTTTTGAACTTGAGGTTGTGGAAATTGTTAAACTTGAGAATCAGGTGCTGGTTGAACTTGAGTTTGTGATTTTATTGAACTTGAGTTTGGTTCGTGTTTTAACTTGAGTTTGTGATGTTTTTGAATTTGAGTTTGTGTGTTGTTGAACTTGAGTTTGTGTTGTGTTTGAACTTGAGTTTGTGGTGTTTTTGAACTTAAGTTTGTTTCGTGTTTGAACTTGAGTTCGTGTCGTGTTTGAACTTGAGTTTGTGTTGTGTTTAATTTGAGTTGCGTGTTTGGTGAACTTGAGTTTGTGTTCTTTGAACTTGAGTTTCTATTGTTTTTGAACTTGAGGTTGTGGTGTTTTTGACCTTGAGTTTTTGTGTTTGTTGAACTTGAGTTTGTTTCGTGTTTGAACTTGATTTTGTGGTGTTTTTGAACTTAAGGTTGTGGCAATTTTTAAACTTGAGATTTGGAAATTGGTTGAACTTGAGTTTTTGTGTTTGTTGAACTTGAGTTTGTGTCGTGTTTGAACTTGAGTTTGTGGTGTTTTTAACTTGAGGTGGTTTCATGTTTGAACTTGAGTTTGTTGCGTTTGTTGAACTTGAGTTTGTGGTGTTTGTTGATCTTGAGTTTGTGGTTTTTGTTGAACTTGAGTTTGTGTCGTGTTTGAACTTGAGTTTGTGTGTTTTTTGAACTTGAGTTTGTTTCGTGTTTGAACTTGAGTTTGTTGCGTTTGTTGAATTTGAGTTTGTGTCATGTTTGAACTTGAGTTTGTGGTGTTTTTGAACTTGAATTTGCGTGTTTGGTTAACTTGAGTTTTTGTGTGTTTTGAACTTGAGTTTGTATCGTGTTTTAACTTGAGATTGTGTCGTTTTTGAACTTGAGTTTGTGTGTTTGTTGAACTTGAGTTTGTGTTGTGTTTGAACTTGAGTTTGTGTCGTGTTTGAACTTGAGGTTGTGGAAATTGTTAAACTTGAGATTCAGGTGTTGGTTGAACTTGAGTTTGTGTGTTTGTTGAACTTGAGTTTTTTGTCGTGTTTGAACTTGAGTTTGTGGTGTTTTGAACTTGAGTTTGTGATGTTTTTTGAACTTAAGTTTGTTGAACTTGAGTTTGTGGCAATTGTTGAACTTCAGTTTGTGTCGTGTTTGAACTCTAGTCTGTTGTTTTTGAACTTGAGGTCGTTGAATTGTTAAACATGAGAATCAGGTTTTGGTTGAACTTGAGTTTCTATTGTTTTTGAACTTGAGGTTGTGGTGTTTTTGAACTTGAGTTTGTGTGGTTTTTTAACTTAGTTTTGTGGCAATTGTTAAACTTGAGATTTGGGTGTTGGTTGAACTTGGGTTTGTGGTGTTTTTGAACTTGAGTTTGTGTCTTTGTTGAACTTGAGTTTGTGGCGTGTTTTAACTTGAGTTTCTGTTGTTTTTGAACTTGAAGTTGTGGAAATTGTTGAACTTGAGATTTGGGATTTGGTTGAACTTGACTTTGTTTCATGTTTGAACTTGAGTTTGTGTGTTTTTTGAACTTGAACTTGTGTGTTTTTTGAACTTGAGTTTGTGTTGTTAAAAACTTGAGTTTGTGGTGTTTTTGAACTTGGGTTTGTGTGTTTGTTGAACTTGAGGTTGTGGCAATTGTTAAACTTGATATTTGGGTGTTGGTTGAACTTCAAACTTTGGAATTTGTTGATCTTGGGTTTGTGGTGTTCGTTGAATTCAGTTTCAGCATTTTTTTAACTTGAGTTTGTGTGTTTTTGAACTTGAGTTTGTGGCAATTTTTGAACTTGAGTTTGTTGAACTTGAGTTTTTGGCAGTTGTTAAATGTGAGTTTAGGTCATTTGTTGAACTTGAGTTTGTGGCAATTGTTGAACTTGAGTCTGTATTTTTCACTGAACTTTAGTTTGTAGCGTTTGTTGTACTTGATTTTGTGTCTTGTTTGAACTTGAGTTGGGGGTGTTTCTGAACTTTAGGTTGTGGCAATTGTTGAACTTGAGGATTGTGTGTTTGTTGAACTTGAGTTTGTGGCGTGTTTGAACTTGAGTTTCTGTTGTTTTTGAACTTGCGGTTTTGGATATTGTTTAATTTGAGATTTGAGTGTTGGTTGAACTTGACTTTGTCATGTTTGAACTTGAGTTTGTGGTGTTTTTGAACTAGAGTTTGTGTGTTTTTTGAACTTAAGTTTTCTGTCAATTGTTGAACTTGTTGAATTTTTGTTGTTTTTGAACTTGAGTTTGTGTCATATTTGATCTTGAGTTTGTGGTGTTTTTGAACTTGAGTTTGCATGTTTGGTGAACTTAAGTTTGTGTGTTTGTTGAACTTGAGTTTGTGTCGTCTTTGAACTTCAGTTTGTGTCGTTTTTGAACTTGAGTTTGAATTTTTTTGAACTTGAGTTTGTGTTGTGTTTGAACTTGAGTTGCATGTTTGGTGAACTTGAGTTTGTGTGTTTTTTGAACTTGAGTTTCTGTTGTTTTTGAACTTGAGGTTGTGGAAATTGTTAAACTTGAGAATCAGGTGTTTGAACTTGAGTTAGTCTGTTTGTTGAACTTGAGTTTTTTGTCGTGTTTGAACTTGAGTTTGTGGTGTTTTTGACCTTGAGTTTTTGTGTTTGTTGAACCTGAGTTTCTGTTGTGTTTGAACTTGAGTTGCGTGTTTGGTGAACTTGAGTTTGTGTGTTTTTTGAACTTGAGTTTCTGTTGTTTTTGAACTTGAGGTTGTGGAAATGGTTAAACTTGAGAATCAGGTGTTGGTTGAACTTGAGTTGCGTGTTTGGTGAACTTGAGTTTGTATTGTCTTTGAACTTGAGTTTTTTTTTGTTTTTGAACTTGAGGTTGTGGAAATTGTTAAACTTGAGAATCAGGTGCTGGTTGAACTTGAGTTTGTGATTTTATTGAACTTGAGTTTGGTTCGTGTTTTAACTTGAGTTTGTGATGTTTTTGAATTTGAGTTTGTGTGTTGTTGAACTTGAGTTTGTGTTGTGTTTGAACTTGAGTTTGTGGTGTTTTTGAACTTAAGTTTGTTTCGTGTTTGAACTTGAGTTCGTGTCGTGTTTGAACTTGAGTTTGTGTTGTGTTTAATTTGAGTTGCGTGTTTGGTGAACTTGAGTTTGTGTTCTTTGAACTTGAGTTTCTATTGTTTTTGAACTTGAGGTTGTGGTGTTTTTGACCTTGAGTTTTTGTGTTTGTTGAACTTGAGTTTGTTTCGTGTTTGAACTTGATTTTGTGGTGTTTTTGAACTTAAGGTTGTGGCAATTTTTAAACTTGAGATTTGGAAATTGGTTGAACTTGAGTTTTTGTGTTTGTTGAACTTGAGTTTGTGTGTCGTGTTTGAACGTGAGTTTGTGGTGTTTTTAACTTGAGGTGGTTTCATGTTTGAACTTGAGTTTGTTGCGTTTGTTGAACTTGAGTTTGTGGTGTTTGTTGATCTTGAGTTTGTGGTTTTTGTTGAACTTGAGTTTGTGTCGTGTTTGAACTTGAGTTTGTGTGTTTTTTGAACTTGAGTTTGTTTCGTGTTTGAACTTGAGTTTGTTGCGTTTGTTGAATTTGAGTTTGTGTCATGTTTGAACTTGAGTTTGTGGTGTTTTTGAACTTGAATTTGCGTGTTTGGTTAACTTGAGTTTTTGTGTGTTTTGAACTTGAGTTTGTATCGTGTTTTAACTTGAGATTGTGTCGTTTTTGAACTTGAGTTTGTGTGTTTGTTGAACTTGAGTTTGTGTTGTGTTTGAACTTGAGTTTGTGTCGTGTTTGAACTTGAGGTTGTGGAAATTGTTAAACTTGAGAATCAGGTGTTGGTTGAACTTGAGTTAGTGTGTTTGTTGAACTTGAGTTTTTTTGTCGTGTTTGAACTTGAGTTTGTGGTGTTTTGAACTTGAGTTTGTGGTGTTTTTTGAACTTAAGTTTGTTGAACTTGAGTTTGGCAATTGTTGAACTTGAGTTTGTGTCGTGTTTGAACTCTAGTCTGTTGTTTTTGAACTTGAGGTCGTTGAATTGTTAAACATGAGAATCAGGTTTTGGTTGAACTTGAGTTTCTATTGTTTTTGAACTTGAGGTTGTGGTGTTTTTGACCTTGAGTTTTTGTGTTTGTTGAACTTGAGTTTGTTTCGTGTTTGAACTTGAGATTGTGGTGTTTTTGAACTTGATTTAGTGTGTTTGTTGAACTTGAGTTTGTGTTGTGTTTGAACTTTAGTTTGTGGCGTTTGTTGAGTTTGATTTTGTGTCGTGTTTGAACTTGAGTTTGTGGTTTTTTTTAACTTGAGTTTGTGTCGTGTTTGAACTTGAGTTTGAGTGTTTTTTGAACTTGAGTTTGTGTGGTTTTTGAACTTGAGTTTGTGTCGTGTTTGAACTTGAGTTTGAGTGTTTTTTGAACTTGAGTTTGTGTGGTTTTTGAACTTGAGTTTGTTTCGTGTTTGAACTTGAGTTTGTGGCGTTTGTTGAATTTGAGTTTGTGTCATGTTTGAACTTGAGTTTGTGGTGTTTTTGAACTTGAATTTGCATGTTTGGTTAACTTGAGTTTTTGTGTTTTTTGAACTTGAGTTTCTGTTGTTTTTGAACTTGAGGTTGTGGAAATTGTTAAACTTGAGACTCAGGTGTTGGTTGAACTTAGGTTTCTGTTGTTTTTGAACTTGAGGTTGTGGAAATTGTTAAACTTGAGAATCAGATTTTGGTTGAACTTAGGTTTCTGTTGTTTTTGAACTTGAGGTTGTGGAAATTGTTAAACTTGAGACTCAGGTGTTGGTTGAACTTAGGTTTCTGTTGTTTTTGAACTTGAGGTTGTGGAAATTGTTAAACTTGAGAATCAGATTTTGGTTGAACTTGAGTTTGTGTCATTTTTGAACTTAAGTTTGTGTGTGTGTTGAACTTGAGTTTGTGTTGTGTTTAATTTGAGTTGCGTGTTTGGTGAACTTGAGTTTGTGTTCTTTGAACTTGAGTTTCTATTGTTTTTGAACTTGAGGTTGTGGTGTTTTTGACCTTGAGTTTTTGTGTTTGTTGAACTTGAGTTTGTTTCGTGTTTGAACTTGATTTTGTGGTGTTTTTGAACTTAAGGTTGTGGCAATTTTTAAACTTGAGATTTGGAAATTGGTTGAACTTGAGTTATTGTGTTTGTTGAACTTGAGTTTGTGTCGTGTTTGAACGTGAGTTTGTGGTGTTTTTAACTTGAGGTGGTTTCATGTTTGAACTTGAGTTTGTTGCGTTTGTTGAACTTGAGTTTGTGGTGTTTGTTGAACTTGAGTTTGTGGTTTTTGTTGAACTTGAGTTTGTGTCGTGTTTGAACTTGAGTTTGTGTGTTTTTTGAACTTGAGTTTTTTTCGTGTTTGAACTTGAGTTTGTGGTGTTTGTTGAATTTGAGTTTGTGTCATGTTTGAACTTGAGTTTGTGGTGTTTTTGAACTTGAATTTGCGTGTTTGGTTAACTTGAGTTTTTGTGTGTTTTGAACTTGAGTTTGTATCGTGTTTTAACGTGAGATTGTGTCGTTTTTGAACTTGAGTTTGTGTGTTTGTTGAACTTGAGTTTGTGTTGTGTTTGAACTTGAGTTTGTGTCGTGTTTGAACTTGAGGTTGTGGAAATTGTTAAACTTGAGATTCAGGTGTTGGTTGAACTTGAGTTAGTGTGTTTGTTGAACTTGAGTTTTTTGTCGTGTTTGAACTTGAGTTTGTGGTGTTTTGAACTTGAGTTTGTGATGTTTTTTGAACTTAATTTTGTTGAACTTGAGTTTGTGGCAATTGTTGAACTTCAGTTTGTGTCGTGTTTGAACTCTAGTCTGTTGTTTTTGAACTTGAGGTCGTTGAATTGTTAAACATGAGAATCAGGTTTTGGTTGAACTTGAGTTTCTGTTGTTTTTGAATTTGAGGTTGTGGAAATTGTTAAAGTTGAGAATCAGGTGTTGGTTGAACTTGAGTTGCGTGTTTGGTGAACTTGAGTTTTTGTGTTTTTTGAACTTGAATTTCTGTTGTTTTTGAACTTGAGGTTCTGGAAAAAAATTTAAACTTGAGAATCAGGTGTTGGTTGAACTTGAGTTGCGTGTTTGGTGAACTTGAGTTTTTGTGTTTTTTGAACTTGAATTTCTGTTGTTTTTGAACTTGAGGTTCTGGAAAAAAATTTAAACTTGAGAATCAGGTGTTGGTTGAACTTGAGTTTCTGTTTTTGAACTTGAGGTTGTGGAAATTGTTAAACTTGAGAATCAGATTTTGGTTGAACTTGAGTTTGTGTCATTTTTGAACTTAAGTTTGTGTGTGTGTTGAACTTGAGGTTGTTGAAATTGTTAATCTTGAGAATTGGGTATTGGTTGAACTTGAGTTTGTGTCGTGTTTGAATGTGAGTTTGGTTTGTGTTTTAACTTGAGTTTGTGATGTTTTTGAATTTGAGTTTGTGTGTTGGTTGAACTTGAGTTTGTGTTGTGTTTGAACTTGAGTTTGTGGTGTTTTTGAACTTGAGTTAGTGTGTTTGTTGAACTTGAGTTTGTGTTGTGTTTGAACTTTAGTTTGTGGCGTTTGTTGAGCTTGATTTTGTGTCGTGTTTGAACTTGAGTTTGTGGTTTTTGTTGAACTTGAGTTTGTGTCGTGTTTGAATTGAGTTTGAGTGTTTTTTGAACTTGAGTTTGTGTGGTTTTTGAACTTGAGTTTGTGTCGTGTTTGAATTGAGTTTGAGTGTTTTTTGAACTTGAGTTTGTGTGGTTTTTGAACTTGAGTTTGTTTCTATTTGAACTTGAGTTTGTGGCGTTTGTTGAATTTGAGTTTGTGTCATGTTTGAACTTGAGTTTGTGGTGTTTTTGAACTTGAATTTGCATGTTTGGTTAACTTGGGTTTTTGTGTTTTTTGAACTTAGGTTTCTGTTGTTTTTGAACTTGAGGTTGTGGAAATTGTTAAACTTGAGACTCAGGTGTTGGTTGAACTTAGGTTTCTGTTGTTTTTGAACTTGAGGTTGTGGAAATTGTTAAACTTAAGAATTAGGTGTTGGTTGAACTTGAGTTTGTGTGTTTGTTGAACTTGAATTTGTGATGTTTTTGAACTTGAGGTTGTTGAAATTTTTAAACTTGAGAATTGGGTATTGGTTGAACTTTAGTTTGTGATTTTATTGAACTTGAGTTTGGTTCGTGTTTTAACTTGAGTTTGTGATGTTTTTGAATTTGAGTTTGTGTGTTGGTTGAACTTGAGTTTGTGTTGTGTTTGAACTTGAGTTTGTGATGTTTTTGAATTTGAGTTTGTGTGTTGGTTGAACTTGAGTTCGTGTCGTGTTTGAACTTGAGTTTGTGGTGTTTTTTGAACTTGAGGTGGTTTCATGTTTGAACTTGAGTTTGTTGCGTTTTTTGAACTTGAGTTTGTGGTGTTTGTTGAACTTGAGTTTGTGTGGTGTTTGAACTTGAGTTTGTGTCGTGTTTGAACTTGAGTTTGTGTGTTTTTTGAACTTGAGTTTGTGTGTTTTTTTGAATTTGAGTTTGTGTCGTGTTTGAACTTGAGTTTGTGGTGTTTTTGAACTTGAATTTGCGTGTTTGGTTAACTTGAGTTTTTGTGTTTTTTGAACTTGAGTTTCTGTTGTTTTTGAACTTGAGGTTGTGGAAATTGTTAAACTTGAGAATCAGGTGTTGGTTGAACTTGAGATTGTGTGTTTTTTGAACCTGAGTTTGTGGTGTTTTTGAACTTGAGGTTGTTGAAATTGTTAATCTTGAGAATTGGGTATTGGTTGAACTTGAGTTTGTGTCGTGTTTGAATGTGAGTTTGGTTTGTGTTTTAACTTGAGTTTGTGATGTTTTTGAATTTGAGTTTGTGTGTTGGTTGAACTTGAGTTTGTGTTGTGTTTGAACTTGAGTTTGTGGTGTTTTTGAACTTGAGTTTGTGTGTTTGTTGAACTTGAGTCTGTGTTGTGTTTGAACTTTAGTTTGTGGCGTTTGTTGAGTTTGATTTTGTGTCGTGTTTGAACTTGAGTTTGTGGTTTTTTTTAACTTGAGTTTGTGTCGTGTTTGAACTTGAGTTTGAGTGTTTTTTGAACTTGAGTTTGTGTGGTTTTTGAACTTGAGTTTGTGTCGTGTTTGAACTTGAGTTTGAGTGTTTTTTGAACTTGAGTTTGTGTGGTTTTTGAACTTGAGTTTGTTTCGTGTTTGAACTTGAGTTTGTGGCGTTTGTTGAATTTGAGTTTGTGTCATGTTTGAACTTGAGTTTGTGGTGTTTTTGAACTTGAATTTGCATGTTTGGTTAACTTGGGTTTTTGTGTTTTTTGAACTTAGGTTTCTGTTGTTTTTGAACTTGAGGTTGTGGAAATTGTTAAACTTGAGACTCAGGTGTTGGTTGAACTTAGGTTTCTGTTGTTTTTGAACTTGAGGTTGTGGAAATTGTTAAACTTAAGAATTAGGTGTTGGTTGAACTTGAGTTTGTGTGTTTGTTGAACTTGAGTTTTGTGGTGTTTTTGAACTTGAGGTTGTTGAAATTTTTAAACTTGAGAATTGGGTATTGGTTGAACTTGAGTTTGTGATTTTATTGAACTTGAGTTTGGTTCGTGTTTTAACTTGAGTTTGTGATGTTTTTGAATTTGAGTTTGTGTGTTGGTTGAACTTGAGTTTGTGTCGTGTTTGAACTTGAGTTTGTGTGTTTTTTGAACTTGAGTTTGTGTGTTGGTTGAACTTGAGTTCGTGTCGTGTTTGAACTTGAGTTTGTGGTGTTTTTTAACTTGAGGTGGTTTCATGTTTGAACTTGAGTTTGTTGCGTTTTTTGAACTTGAGTTTGTGGTGTTTGTTGAACTTGAGTTTGTGTGGTGTTTGAACTTGAGTTTGTGTCGTGTTTGAACTTGAGTTTGTGTGTTTTTTGAACTTGAGTTTGTGTGGTTTTTGAACTTGAGTTTGTTTCGTGTTTGAACTTGAGTTTGTGGTGTTTTTGAACTTGAATTTGCGTGTTTGGTTAACTTGAGTTTTTGTGTTTTTTGAACTTGAGTTTCTGTTGTTTTTGAACTTGAGGTTGTGGAAATTGTTAAACTTGAGAATCAGGTGTTGGTTGAACTTGAGTTTGTGTGTTTGTTGAACTTGAGTTTGTGGTGTTTTTGAACTTGAGGTTGTTGAAATTGTTAATCTTGAGAATTGGGTATTGGTTGAACTTGAGTTTGTGTCGTGTTTGAATGTGAGTTTGGTTTGTGTTTTAACTTGAGTTTGTGATGTTTTTGAATTTGAGTTTGTGTGTTTGTTGAACTTGAGTTTGTGTTGTGTTCGATCTTCAGTTTGTGGTGATTTTGAACTTGAGTTTGTGACATTTTTGAACTTGAGTTTGTGGCGTTTTTGAACTTGAGTTTGTGGTGTTTCTGAACTTGAGTTTGTGGTGTTTTTGAACTTGAGGTTGTGGCGTTTGTTGAACTTGAGTTTCTGTTGTTTTTGAACTTGAATTTGTGTCGTGTTTGAACTTGAGTTTGTGGCATTTGTTGAACTTGAGTTTGTGGTGTTTTTTAACTTGAGGGTGTGGAATTTGTTAAACTTGAGAATTGGGTTTTGGTTGAACTTGCGTTTTTGTGTTTTTTAAATTAGGTTTGTGTAGTGTTTGAACCTGAGTTTGTGGTGTTTTTGAACTTGAGGTGCGTGTTTGGTGACCTTGAGTTTGTGTCGTGTTTGAATGTGAGTTTGGTTCGTGTTTTAACTTGAGTTTGTGATGTTTTTGAATTTGAGTTTGTGTGTTGGTTGAACTTGAGTTTGTGTTGTGTTTGAACTTGAGTTTGTGGTGTTTTTGAATTTGAGTTTGTGTGTTGGTTGAACTTGAGTTTGTTGCGTTTTTTTGAACTTGAGTTTGTGTTGTTTGAACTTGAGTTTGTGTGGTGTTTGAACTTGAGTTTGTAGCGTGTTTGACCATGAGTTTGGTGTTTTTGAACTTGAGTTTTTGTGTTCGTTGAACTTGAGTTTGTTTTGTGTTTGCACTTGAGTTTGTGGTGTTTTTGAACTTGATTTGGTGTGTTTGTTGAACTTGAGTTTCGTGTTTGAACTTGAGTTTGTGGTTTTTGTTGAACTTGATTTTGTGTCGTGTTTGAACTTGAGTTTGTGGTTTTTGTTGAACTTGAGTTTGTGTCGTGTTTGAACTTGAGTTTGTGTGTTTTTTGAACTTGAGTTTGTGTGGTTTTTGAACTTGAGGGTGTGGAATTTGTTAAACTTGAGAATTGGGTTTTGGTTGAACTTGCGTTTTTGTGTTTTTTAAATTAGGTTTGTGTAGTGTTTGAACCTGAGTTTGTGGTGTTTTTGAACTTGAGGTGCGTGTTTGGTGACCTTGAGTTTGTGTCGTGTTTGAATGTGAGTTTGGTTCGTGTTTTAACTTGAGTTTGTGATGTTTTTGAACTTGAGTTTGTGTGTTGGTTGAACTTGAGTTTGTGTTGTGTTTGAACTTGAGTTTGTGGTGTTTTTGAATTTGAGTTTGTGTGTTGGTTGAACTTGAGTTTGTTGCGTTTTTTGAACTTGAGTTTGTGTGGTGTTTGAACTTGAGTTTGTAGCGTGTTTGACCATGAGTTTGGTGTTTTTGAACTTGAGTTTTTGTGTTCGTTGAACTTGAGTTTGTTTTGTGTTTGAACTTGAGATTGTGGTGTTTTTGAACTTGAGTTAGTGTGTTTGTTGAACTTGAGTTTGTGTCGTGTTTGAACTTTAGTTTGTGGCGTTTGTTGAGCTTGATTTTGTGTCGTGTTTGAACTTGAGTTTGTGGTTTTTGTTGAACTTGAGTTTGTGTCGTGTTTGAACTTGAGTTTGTGTGTTTTTTGAACTTGAGTTTGTGTGGTTTTTGAACTTGAGTTTGTTTCGTGTTTGAACTTGAGTTTGTGGTGTTTTTGAACCTGAATCTGCGTGTTTGGTTAACTTGAGTTTTTGTGTTTTTTGAACTTAGGTTTCTGTTGTTTTTGAACTTGAGGTTGTGGAAATTGTTAAACTTGAGAATCAGGTGTTGGTTGAATTTGAGTTTGTGTGTTTGTTGAACTTGAGTTTGTGGTGTTTTTGAACTTGAGGTTGTTGAAATTGTTAATCTTGAGAATTGGGTATTGGTTGAACTTGAGTTTGTGTCGTGTTTGAATGTGAGTTTGCTTTGTGTTTTAACTTGAGTTTGTGATGTTTTTGAATTTGAATTTGTGTGTTGGTTGAACTTGAGTTTGTGTTGTGTTTGAACTTGAGTTTGTGGTGTTTTTGAACTTGAGTTTGTGTGTTTGTTGAACTTGAGTTTGTGTTGTGTTCGAACTTGAGTTTGTGGTGATTTTGAACTTGAGTTTGTGACGTGTTTGAACTTGAGTTTGTGGCGTTTTTGAACTTGAGTTTGAGTTGTTTCTGAACTTGAGTTTGTGGTGTTTTTGAACTTGAGTTTGTGGCGTTTGTTGAACTTTAGTTTCTGTTGTTTTTGAACTTGAATTTGTGTCGTGTTTGAACTTGAGTTTGTGGCGTTCGTTGAACTTGAGTTTGTGGGGTTTTTTTAACTTGAGGGTGTGGAATTTGTTAAACTTGAGAATTGGGTTTTGGTTGAACTTGCGTTTTTGTGTTTTTTAAATTAGGTTTGTGTAGTGTTTGAACCTGAGTTTGTGGTGTTTTTGAACTTGAGGTGCGTGTTTGGTGACCTTGAGTTTGTGTCGTGTTTGAATGTGAGTATCTGTTGTTTTTTGAACTTGAAGTTGTGGTTTTTTTTAACTTGAGGGTGTGGAATTTGTTAAACTTGAGAATTGGGTTTTGGTTGAACTTGAGTTTGTGGTGTTTTTGAACTTGAGTTTGTTTCGTGTTTGAACTTGAGTTTCTGTTGTTTTTGAACTTGAATTTGTGTCGTGTTTGAACTTGAGTTTGTGGCGTTTGTTGAACTTGAGTTTGTGTCGTGTCTGAACTTGAGTTTGTGGTGTTTTTGAACTTGAGTTTGTGGTGTTTTTGAACTTGATTTTGTGTTTGAACTTGAGTTTGTGGTGTTTTTGAACTTGAGTTTGTGTCGTGTTTTGACTTGAGTTTGTGTGTTTGTTTAACATGATTTTGTGTTATGTTTGAACTTGAGTTTGTGGGATTTTTGAACTTGAGTTTGTGGTGTTTTTGAACTTGAGTTTGTGGCATTTGTTGAACTTGAGTTTCTGTTGTTTTTGAACTTGAATTTTTGTCGTGTTTGAACTTGAGTTTGTGGCGTTTGTTGAACTTGAGTTCTTGGTGTTTTTGAACTTGAGGGTGTGTTTGGTGACCTTGAGTTTTTGTGTTTTTTGAACTTGAGTATCTGTTGATTTTTGAACTTGAAGTGGGTTTTTTTAACTTGAGGGTGTGGAATTTGTTAAACTTGAGAATTGGGTTTTGGTTGAACTTGAGTTTGTGGTGTTTTTGAACTTGAGTTTTTTTTCGTGTTTGAACTTGAGTTTGTGGCGTTTGTTGAACTTGATTTTCTGTTGTTTTTGAACTTGAATGTGTGTCGTGTTTGAACTTGAGTTTGTGGCGTTTGTTGAACTTGAGTTTGTGTCGTGTCTGAACTTGAGTTTGTGGTGTTTTTGAACTTGAGTTTGTGGTGTTTTTGAACTTGATTTTGTGTTTGAACTTGAGTTTGTGGTGTTTTTGAACTTGAGTTTGTGTCGTGTTTTAACTTGAGTTTGTGTGTTTGTTTAACATGATTTTGTGTTATGTTTGAACTTGAGTTTGTGGGGTTTTTGAACTTGAGTTTCTGTTGTTTTTGAACTTGAATTTGTGTCGTGTTTGAACTTGAGTTTGTGGTGTTTGTTGAACTTGAGTTCTTGGTGTTTTTGAACTTGAGGGTGTGGAATTTGTTAATCTTGAGAATTGGGTATTGGTTGAACTTGAGTTTGTGTTGTTGTTGAACTTGAGTTTGTGTCGAGTTTGAACTTGAGTTTGTGGTGTTTTTTAACTTGATTTTGTGTTTGTTGAACTTGAGTTGTGTTTGAACTTGAGTTTGTAGTATTTTTGAACTTGAGTTTGTGTCGTGTTTTAACTTGAGTTTGTGTGTTTGTTTAACTTGAGTTTGTGTTGTGTTTGAACTTGAGTTTGTGGCGTTTGTTGAACTTGAGTTTCTGTTGTTTTTGAACTTGAATTTGTGTCGTGTTTGAACTTGAGTTTGTGGCGTTTGTTGAACTTGAGTTTGTGTCGTGTCTGATCTTGAGTTTGTGGTGTTTTTGAACTTGAGTTTTCTGCTTTTTTTGAACTTGAGTTTGTATCATGTTGGAAATTTAGTTTGTGGTGTTTGTTGAACTTGAGTTTGTGTTTTTGAACTTGAGTTTGTGGTTTTATTGAACTTGAGTTTGTTTCTTGTTTGAACTTGAGTTTGTGGCGTTTGTTGAAATTGAGTTTGTGTTGTGTTTGAACTTGAGTAAATGGGGTTTTTGAACTTGAGTTTGTGGTGTTTTTGAACTTGAGTTTCTGTTGTTTTTGAACTTGAGGTATTGGAAATTGTTAAACCTTTGAATCAGGTGTTGGTTTAACTTGAGTTTGTGTGTTTGTTGAACTTGAGTTTGTGTCATGTTTGAACTTGAGTTTGTGGTGTTTTTTAACTTGATTTTTTGTGTTTGTTGAACTTGAGTTTGTGTTTGAACTTGAGTTTGTGGTGTTTTTGAACTTGAGTTTGTGTCGTGTTTTAACTTGAGTTTGTGTGTTTGTTTAACTTGAGTTTGTGTTGTGTTTGAACTTGAGTTTGTGGTGTTTGTTGAACTTGAGTTTCTGTTGTTTTTGAACTTGAATTTGTGTCGTGTTTGAACTTGAGTTTGTGGCGTTTGTTGAACTTGAGTTTGTGTCGTGTCTGATCTTGAGTTTGTGGTTTTTTTTAACTTGAGGGTGTGGAATTTGTTAAACTTTAGAATTGGGTATTGGTTGAACTTGAGTTTGTGATGTTTGTTGAACTTGAGTTCGTGATGTTTTCGAACTTGAGGTTGTGGAAATTGTTAAACTTGAGAATTGGGTATTGGTTGAACTTGAGTTTGTGGTGATTTTGAACTTGAATTTGTTATGTGTTTGAACTTGAATTCTTGGCAATTGTTGAACTTCAGTTTGTGTGTCGTGTTTGAACTTGAGTTTGTGGTGTTTTTGAACTTGATTTTTGGTGTTTTTGAACTTGAGGTTGTGGAAATTGTTAAACTTGAGAATTGGGTATTGGTTGAACTTGATTTTTTTGTGTTTGTTGAACTTGAGTTTGTGTCGTGTTTGAACTTGAGTTTGTGGTGTTTTTGAACTTGAGTTTATGTTGTTTTTGAATTTGAGGTATTGGAAATTGTTAAACCTTTGAATCAGGTGTTGGTTGAACTTGAGTTTGTGTGTTTGTTGAACTTGAGTTTGTGTCATGTTTGAACTTTAGCTTTTGGTGTTTTTGAACTTGAGTTTGTGTGTTTGAACTTGAGGTTGTGGTGTTTTTGGACTTGAGTTTGTGTCGTGTTTAAACTTGAGGGTGTGGAATTTGTTTAACTTGACAATTTGGTATTGGTTGAACTTGAGTTTGTGGGGTTTTTCTGAACTTGAGTTTGTGGAAATTGTTTAACTTGAGAATCAGGTGTTGGATGAACTTGAGTTAGTGTTTGTTGAACTTGAGTTTGTGTTGTTTTGGAACTTAAGTTTTTGGTGTTTTTGATCTTGAGTTTGTGTGCTTGTTGAACTTGAGTTTGTGTTGTGTTTGAACTTGAGTTTGTGTTTTTTTTTAACTTGAGTTTGTTTCATGTTTGAACTTGAGTTTTTGGTGTTTTTGAACTTGAATTTTTGGTGGTTTTGAAATTGAGCTTGTGGAAGTTGTTAAACTTGAGAATTGGGTATTGGTTGAACTTGAGTTTTTTGTGTTTTTGAACTTGAGTTTGTGTCGTGTTTGAACTTGAGTTTATGGTGTTTTTGAACTTGAGTTTGTGGTGTTTTTGAACTTGAGGTTGTGGAAATTGTTAAACTTGAGAATTGGGTATTGGTTGAACTGATTTTTTTGTGTTTTTGATCTTGATTTTGTGTTGTGTTTGAACTTGAGTTTATGGGTTTTTTTTAACTTGAATTTGCATGTTTGGTGACCTTGAGTTTTCGTGTTTTTTTGAACTTGAGTTTCTGTTTTTTTGAACTTGAGGTTGTGGAAATTGTTAAACCTTATAATCGGGTGTTGGTTGAACTTGAGTTTGTTTGTTTTTTGAACTTGAGTTTGTGGTGTGTTTGAACTTGAGTTCGTGGTGTTTATGAACTTGAGTTTGTGTGTTTGTTTAACTTGAGTTTGTGTTGTTTTTGAACTTGAGTTTTTGGTGGTCTTGAACTTGAGGTTGAGGAAATTGTTAAACTTAAGAATTGGGTATTGGTTGAACTCGCGTTTTTTGTGTTTTTAAATTGGGTTTTTGTAGTGTTTGAACCTGAGTTTGTGGTGTTTTTGAACTTGATTTTTGGTGTTTTTGAACTTGAGGTTGTGGAAATTGTTAAACTTGAGAATTGGGTATTGGTTGAACTTTAGTTTGTGATTTTATTGAACTTGAGTTTGTGTCATGTTTGAACTTTAGCTTTTGGTGTTTTTGAACTTGAGTTTGTGTGTTTGAACTTGAGGTTGTGGTGTTTTTGGACTTGAGTTTGTGTTGTGTTTAAACTTGAGGGTGTGGAATTTGTTTAACTTGACAATTTGGTATTGGTTGAACTTGAGTTTGTGGGGTTTTTCTGAACTTGAGTTTGTGGAAATTGTTTAACTTGAGAATCAGGTGTTGGATGAACTTGAGTTAGTGTTTGTTGAACTTGAGTTTGTGTTGTGTTGGAACTTAAGTTTTTGGTGTTTTTGATCTTGAGTTTGTGTGCTTGTTGAACTTTAGTTTGTGTTGTGTTTGAACTTGAGTTTGTGTTTTTTTTTTACTTGAGTTTGTTTCATGTTTGAACTTGAGTTTTTTGAGTTTTTGAACTTGAATTTTTGGTGTTTTTGAAATTGAGCTTGTGGAAGTTGTTAAACTTGAGAATTGGGTATTGGTTGAACTTGAGTTTTTTGTGTTTTTGAACTTGAGTTTGTGTCGTGTTTGAACTTGAGTTTATGGTGTTTTTGAACTTGAGTTTGTGGTGTTTTTGAACTTGAGGTTGTGGAAATTGTTAAACTTGAGAATTGGGTATTGGTTGAACTGATTTTTTTGTGTTTTTGATCTTGATTTTGTGTTGTGTTTGAACTTGAGTTTATGGGGTTTTTTTAACTTGAATTTGCATGTTTGGTGACCTTGAGTTTTCGTGTTTTTTTGAACTTGAGTTTCTGTTTTTTTGAACTTGAGGTTGTGGAAATTGTTAAACCTTATAATCGGGTGTTGGTTGAACTTGAGTTTGTTTGTTTTTTGAACTTGAGTTTGTGGTGTGTTTGAACTTGAGTTTGTGGTGTGTTTGAACTTGAGTTTGTGGTGTTTATGAACTTGAGTTTGTGTGTTTGTTGAACTTGAGTTTGTGTTGTTTTTGAACTTGAGTTTTTGGTGGTCTTGAACTTGAGGTTGAGGAAATTGTTAAACTTAAGAATTGGGTATTGGTTGAACTTGCGTTTTTTGTGTTTTTAAATTGGGTTTGTGTAGTGTTTGAACCTGAGTTTGTGGTGTTTTTGAACTTGAGTTTCTGTTGTTTTTGAACTTGAGTTTTTGGTGGTCTTGAACTTGAGGTTGAGGAAATTGTTAAACTTAAGAATTGGGTATTGGTTGAACTTGCGTTTTTTGTGTTTTTAAATTGGGTTTGTGTAGTGTTTGAACTTGATTTTTGGTGTTTTTGAACTTGAGGTTGTGGAAATTGTTAAACTTGAGAATTGGGTATTGGTTGAACTTGAGTTTTTTGTGTTTTTGAACTTGATTTTGTGTTGTGTTTGAACTTGAGTTTATGGGTTTTTTTTAACTTGAATTTGCATGTTTGGTGACCTTGAGTTTTCGTGTTTTTTTGAACTTGAGTTTCTGTCGTTTTTGAACTTGAGGTATTGGAAATTGTTAAACCTATGAATCAGGTGTTGGTTGAACTTGAGTTTGTGTGTTTGTTGAACTTGAGTTTGTGTCATGTTTGAACTTTAGCTTTTGGTGTTTTTGAACTTGAGTTTGTGTATTTGAACCTGAGGTTGTGGTGTTTTTGGACTTGAGTTTGTGTCGTGTTTAAACTTGAGGGTGTGGAATTTGTTTAACTTGACAATTTGGTATTGGTTGAACTTGAGTTTGTGGGGTTTTTCTGAACTTGAGTTTGTGGAAATTGTTTAACTTGAGAATCAGGTGTTGGATGAACTTGATTTAGTGTTTGTTGAACTTGAGTTTGTGTTGTGTTGGAACTTGAGTTTGTGTTTTTTTTTTACTTGAGTTTGTTTCATGTTTGAACTTGAGTTTTTGGTGTCTTTGAACTTGAATTTTTGGTGGTTTTGAAATTGAGCTTGTGGAAGTTGTTAAACTTGAGAATTGGGTATTGGTTGAACTGATTTTTTTGTGTTTTTGATCTTGATTTTGTGTTGTGTTTGAACTTGAGTTTATGGTGTTTTTGAACTTGAGTTTGTGGTGTTTTTGAACTTGAGGTTGTGGAAATTGTTAAACTTGAGAATTGGGTATTGGTTGAACTGATTTTTTTGTGTTTTTGATCTTGATTTTGTGTTGTGTTTGAACTTGAGTTTATGGTTTTTTTTGAACTTGAATTTGCATGTTTGGTGAACTTGAGTTTTCGTGTTTTTTTGAACTTGAGTTTCTGTTTTTTTGAACTTGAGGTTGTGGAAATTGTTAAACCTTATAATCGGGTGTTGGTTGAACTTGAGTTTGTTTGTTTTTTGAACTTGAGTTTGTGGTGTGTTTGAACTTGAGTTTGTGGTGTTTATGAACTTGAGTTTGTGTGTTTGTTGAACTTGAGTTTGTGTTGTTTTTGAACTTGAGTTTTTGGTGGTCTTGAACTTGAGGTTGAGGAAATTGATAAACTTAAGAATTGGGTATTGGTTGAACTTGAGTTTGTGGTGTTTTTGAACTTGAGTTTGTCCGTGTTAGAACTTGAGTTTGTGTTGTTTTTGAACTTGAAGTTGTGTTTATTTTTAACTTGAGGGTGTGAAATTTTTTAAAGTTGAGAATTGGGTTTTGTTTGAACTTGAGTTTTTGGCGTTTTTGAACTTGAGTTTGTCCGTGTTAGAACTTGAGTTTTTGGCGTTTGTTGAACTTGAGTTTCTGTTGTTTTTGAACTTGAGTTTGTGTCGTGTTTGAACTTGAGTTTGTGTGTTTGTTGAACTTGAGTTTGTGTTATGTTCGAACTTGAGTTTGTGTCGTGTATGAACTTGAGTTTGTGTCGTGTTTTTGAACTTGAGTTTTTGGTGTTTTTGAACTTGAGGGTGTGGAATTTGTTAAACTTGAGAATTGGGTATTGGTTGAATTTGAGTTTGTGTGTTTGTTGAAATTGAGTTTGTGTCATGTTTGAACTTGAGTTTGTGGTCTTTTTGAACTTGAGTTTGTGTGTTTGTTGAACTTGAGTTGTGGCATTTTTTTGAACTCTAGGTTTTGGCAATTGTTAAACATGAGATTTGGTTGTTGGTTGAACTTGAGTTTGTGTCGTGTTTGAACTTGAGTTTGTGTTGTTTGTTGAACTTGAATTTGTGTGTTTTTTTAACTTAATTTTTTTGAACTTGAGTTTGTGGCAATTGTTGAACTTGAGTCTGTGGTTTTTGGTGAACTTTAATTGGTGGCAATTGTTGAACTTGAGTTTGTGGTGTTTTTGAACTTGAGTTTTTGGTGTTTTTGAACTTTGAGGGTGTGTTGTGTTTTTGAACTTGAGTTTGTGGTGTTTTTGAACTTGAGTTTGTTTCGTGTTTGAACTTGAGTTTGTGGCGTTTGTTGAACTCTAGGTTGTGGCAATTGTTGAACTTGAGATTAGGGTGTTGGTTCAACTTAAAAGTTTGGCATTTGTTGAACTTGAGTTTGTGTGTTTGTTGAACTTAAGTTTGTGTCTTGTTTGAACTTGAGTTTGTGTGTTTTTTGAACTTGAGTTTGAATCATGTTTGAACTTGAGTTTGTGGTGATTTTGAACTTGAGTTTGAATCGTGTTTGAACTTGAGTTTGTGGTGATTTTTAACTTGAGGTGTTGGAAATTGTGAAACTTGAGAAATGGGTATTGGTTGAACTTGAGTTTGTGTGTTTGTTGAACAAGAGATTGTGTTGTGTTTTAACTTCAGTTTGTGCTGTTTTTTAAGCTTGAGGTTGTGGTGTTTTTGAACTTGCGTTTGTGGTGTTTTGTACTTGAGTTTGTGTCATTTTTCAACTTGAGGTTGTGGAACTTGTTAAACTTGAGAATGAGGTGTTGATTGAACTTGAGTATTTTTTTTTTAACTTGAGTTTGTGTCGTGTTTGAGCTCGAAATTGTGGTGCTTTTGAATTTGAGTTTGCATGTTTTTTGATCTTGAGTTTGTTGTTTCTGAACTTGAGGTTTTGGCAATTGTTGAACTTGAGTCTGTGGTTTTTAGTGAACTTTAGTTGGTTGCAATTGTTGAACATGAGTTTATGGCGTAAAATTGAGAATTGGGTGTTGGTTGAACTTAAAAGTTTGACATTTGTTGAACTTGAGTGTGGTTTTTGTTGAACTTGAGTTTGTGTCGTGTTTGAGCTCGAGTTTGTGGTGTTTATGAATTTGAGTTTGCGTGTTTGTTAAACTTGAGTTTGTGTTTTTTTTTAACTTGAGTTTGTTGTTTCTGAACTTGAGTTTGTGGCAATTGTTGAACTTGAGTTTGACATTTGTTGAACTTGGGTTTGTGGTTTTTGTTGAACTTGAGTTTGTGGTGTTTTTGAACTTGAGGTTGTGGAATTTGTTAAACTTGAGAATTGGGTATTGGTTGAAATTGAGTCTGTGTGTTTGTTGAACTTGAGTTTGTGTCGTGTTTGAACTTGAGTTTATGGTTTTTTTGAACTTGAGTTTGTGGTGTTTTTGAACTTGAGGTTGTTAGAAATTGTTAAACTTGAAAATTTGGTATTGGTTGAACTTGAGTTTGTGTGTTTGTTGAATTTGAGTTTGTGGCGTTTGTTGAACTTGAGTTTCTGTTGTTTTTGAACTTTAATTTGTGTCGTGTTTGAACTTGAGTTTGTGGCGACTGTTGAACTTGAGTTTGTGGTGTTTTTGAAATTGAGGGTGTGGAATTTGTTAATCTTGAGAATTGGGTATTGGTTGAACTTGAGTTTGTGTTTTGTTGAACTTGAGTTTGTGTCGAGTTTGAACTTGAGTTTATGGTGTTTTTTAAATTTATTTTGTGTGTTTGTTGAACTTGAGTTTGTGTTTGAACTTGAGTTTGTGGTGTTTTTGAACTTGAGTTTGTGTCGTGTTTTAACTTGAGTTTGTGGCGTTTGTTGAACTTGAGTTTGTGTCGTGTCTGAACTTGAGTTTGTGGTGTTTTTGAACTTGAGTTTTCTGGTGTTTTTGAACTTGAGGGTGTGGAATTTGTTAAACTTGAGAATTGGGTATTGGTTTAACTTGAGTTTGTGTCGAGTTTGAACTTGAGTTTGTGGTGTTTTTGAACTTGATTTTGTGTGTTTTTTGAACTTGAGTTTCTGTATTTTTTGAACTTGAATTTGTGTCGTGTTTGAACTTGAGTTTGTGGCGTTTGTTGAACTTGAGTTTGTGTCATGTCTGAACATGAGTTTGTGGTGTTTTTGAACTTGAGTTTGTGGTGTTTTTGAACTTGATTTCGTGTTTGAACTTGAGTTTGTGGTGTTTTTGAACTTGAGTTTGTGTCGTGTTTTAACCTGAGTTTGTGTGTTTGTTTAACTTGATTTTGTGTTTATGTTTGAACTTGAGTTTGTGGGGTTTTTGAACTTGTGTTTGTGGTGTTTTTGAACTTGAGTTTGTGGCATTTGTTGAACTTGAGTTTCTGTTGTTTTTGAACTTGAATTTGTGTCGTGTTTGAACTTGAGTTTGTGGCGTTTGAACTTGAGTTTGTGGTGTTTTTGAACTTGAGGGTGTGGAATTTGTTAATCTTGAGAATTGTGTTTTGGTTGAACTTGAGTTTGTGTTTTTGTTGAACTTGAGTTTGTGTCGAGTTTGAACTTGAGTTTGTGGTGTTTTTTAACTTGATTTTGTGTTTGTTGAACTTGAGTTGTGTTTGAACTTGAGTTTGTAGTATTTTTGAACTTGAGTTTGTGTCGTGTTTTAACTTGAGTTTGTGTGTTTGTTTAACTTGAGTTTGTGTTGTGTTTGAACTTGAGTTTGTGGTGTTTGTTGAACTTGAGTTTCTGTTGTTTTTGAACTTGAACTTTTTGTCGTGTTTGAACTTGAGTTTGTGGTGTTTATTGAACTTGAGTTTGTGTCGTGTCTGAACTTGAGTTTGTGGTGTTTTTGAACTTGAGTTTTCTGGTGTTTTTGAACTTGAGGGTGTGGAATTTGTTAAACTTGAGAATTGGGTATTGGTTTAACTTGAGTTTGTGTGTTTGTTGAACTTGAGTTTGTGTCGAGTTTGAACTTGAGTTTGTGGTGTTTTTTAACTTGTTTTTGTGTGTTTGTTGAACTTGAGTTTGTGTTTGAACTTGAGTTTGTGGTGTTTTTGAACTTGAGTTTGTGTCGTGTTTTAACTTGAGTTTGTTGTTGTTGTTTAACTTGATTTTGTGTCGTGTTTGAACTTGAGTTTGTGGTGTTTTTGAACTTGAGTTTTCTGGTGTTTTTGAACTTGAGGGTGTGGAATTTGTTAAACTTGAGAATTGGGTATTGGTTTAACTTGAGTTTGTGTCGAGTTTGAACTTGAGTTTGTGGTGTTTTTTAACTTGATTTTGTGTGTTATTTGAACTTGAGTTTCTGTATTTATTGAACTTGAATTTGTGTCGTGTTTGAACTTGAGTTTGTGGCGTTTGTTGAACTTGAGTTTGTGTCATGTCTGAACATGAGTTTGTGGTGTTTTTGAACTTGAGTTTGTGGTGTTTTTGAACTTGATTTCGTGTTTGAACTTGAGTTTGTGGTGTTTTTGAACTTGAGTTTGTGTCGTGTTTTAACCTGAGTTTGTGTGTTTGTTTAACTTGATTTTGTGTTTATGTTTGAACTTGAGTTTGTGGGGTTTTTGAACTTGTGTTTGTGGTGTTTTTGAACTTGAGTTTGTGGCATTTGTTGAACTTGAGTTTCTGTTGTTTTTGAACTTGAATTTGTGTCGTGTTTGAACTTGAGTTTGTGGCGTTTGAACTTGAGTTTGTGGTGTTTTTGAACTTGAGGGTGTGGAATTTGTTAATCTTGAGAATTGTGTTTTGGTTGAACTTGAGTTTGTGTTTTTGTTGAACTTGAGTTTGTGTCGAGTTTGAACTTGAGTTTGTGGTGTTTTTTAACTTGATTTTGTGTTTGTTGAACTTGAGTTGTGTTTGAACTTGAGTTTGTAGTATTTTTGAACTTGAGTTTGTGTCGTGTTTTAACTTGAGTTTGTGTGTTTGTTTAACTTGAGTTTGTGTTGTGTTTGAACTTGAGTTTGTGGCGTTTGTTGAACTTGAGTTTCTGTTGTTTTTGAACTTGAACTTTTTGTCGTGTTTGAACTTGAGTTTGTGGTGTTTATTGAACTTGAGTTTGTGTCGTGTCTGAACTTGAGTTTGTGGTGTTTTTGAACTTGAGTTTTCTGGTGTTTTTGAACTTGAGGGTGTGGAATTTGTTAAACTTCAGAATTGGGTATTGGTTTAACTTGAGTTTGTGTGTTTGTTGAACTTGAGTTTGTGTCGAGTTTGAACTTGAGTTTGTGGTGTTTTTTAACTTGTTTTTGTGTGTTTGTTGAACTTGAGTTTGTGTTTGAACTTGAGTTTGTGGTGTTTTTGAACTTGAGTTTGTGTCGTGTTTTAAATTGAGTTTGTGTTGTTTTTTAACTTGATTTTGTGTCGTGTCTGAACTTGAGTTTGTGGTGTTTTTGAACTTGAGTTTTCTGGTGTTTTTGAACTTGAGGGTGTGGAATTTGTTAAACTTGAGAATTGGGTATTGGTTTAACTTGAGTTTGTGTCGAGTTTGAACTTGAGTTTGTGGTGTTTTTTAACTTGATTTTGTGTGTTATTTGAACTTGAGTTTCTGTATTTATTGAACTTGAATTTGTGTCGTGTTTGAACTTGAGTTTGTGGCGTTTGTTGAACTTGAGTTTGTGTCATGTCTGAACATGAGTTTGTGGTGTTTTTGAACTTGAGTTTGTGGTGTTTTTGAACTTGATTTCGTGTTTGAACTTGAGTTTGTGGTGTTTTTGAACTTGAGTTTGTGTCGTGTTTTAACCTGAGTTTGTGTGTTTGTTTAACTTGATTTTGTGTTTATGTTTGAACTTGAGTTTGTGGGGTTTTTGAACTTGAGTTTGTGGTGTTTGTTGAACTTGAGTTTCTGTTGTTTTTGAACTTGAATTTGTGTCGTGTTTGAACTTGAGTTTGTGGCGTTTGTTGAACTTGAGTTTGTGGTGTTTTTGAACTTGAGGGTGTGGAATTTGTTAATCTTGAGAATTGGGTTTTGGTTGAACTTGAGTTTTTGTTTTTGTTGAACTTGAGTTTGTGTCGAGTTTGAACTTGAGTTTGTGGTGTTTTTTAACTTGATTTTGTGTTTGTTGAACTTGAGTTGTGTTTGAACTTGAGTTTGTAGTATTTTTGAACTTGAGTTTGTGTCGTGTTTTAACTTGAGTTTGTGTGTTTGTTTAACTTGAGTTTGTGTTGTGTTTGAACTTGAGTTTGTGGCGTTTGTTGAACTTGAGTTTCTGTTGTTTTTGAACTTGAATTTGTGTCATGTTTGAACTTGAGTCTGTGGTGTTTGTTGAACTTGAGTTTGTGTCGTGTCTGAACTTGAGTTTGTGGTGTTTTTGAACTTGAGTTTTCTGGTGTTTTTGAACTTGAGGGTGTGGAATTTGTTAAACTTCAGAATTGGCTATTGGTTTAACTTGAGTTTGTGTGTTTGTTGAACTTGAGTTTGTGTCGAGTTTGAACTTGAGTTTGTGGTGTTTTTTAACTTGTTTTTGTGTGCTTGTTGAACTTGAGTTTGTGTTTGAACTTGAGTTTGTGGTGTTTTTGAACTTGAGTTTGTGTCGTGTTTTAACTTGAGTTTGTGTTGTTGTTTAACTTGATTTTGTGTTGTGTTTGAACTTGAGTTTGTGGTGTTTTTGAACTTGAGTTTGTTGAAATTTTGAAACTTGAGAATCAGGTGTTGGATGAACTTCAGTTAGTGTGTTTGTTGAACTTGAGTTTGTATCACGTTGGAAATTTAGTTTGTGGTTTTTGTTGAACTTGAGTTTGTGGTTTTTTTGAACTTGAGTTTGTTTCTTGTTTGAACTTGAGTTCGTGGCGTTTTTTGAAATTGAGTTTGTGTGTTTTTTGAACTTGAGTATCTGTTGTTTTTTGAACTTGAAGTTGTGTTCTTTTTTAACTTGAGGGTGTGGAATTTGTTAAACTTGAGAATTGGGTTTTGGTTGAACTTGAGTTTGTGGTGTTTTTGAACTTGAGTTTTTTTCGTGTTTGAACTTGAGTTTGTGGGGTTTGTTGAACTTGAGTTTCTGTTGTTTTTGAACTTGAATTTAAGTCTTGTTTGAAATTGAGTTTGTGGCGTTTGTTGAACTTGAGTTTGTGTCGTGTCTGAACTTGAGTTTGTGGTGTTTTTGAACTTGAGGTTGTGGTGTTTTTGAACTTGAGGGTGTGGAATTTGTTAATCTTGAGAATTGGGTATTGGTTGAACTTGAGTTTGTGTTTTTGTTGAACTTGAGTTTGTGTCGAGTTTGAACTTGAGTTTGTGGTGTTTTTTAACTTGAGTTTGTGTGTTTGTTGAACTTGAGTTTGTGTTATGTTTGAACTTGAGTTTGTGTCGTGTATGAACTTGAGTTTGTGTTGTGTTTTGAACTTGAGTTTTTGGTGTTTTTGAACTTGAGGGTGTGGAATTTGTTAAACTTGAGAATTGGGTATTGGTTGAATTTGAGTTTGTGTGTTTGTTGAATTTGAGTTTGTGTCATGTTTGAACTTGAGTTTGTGTGTTTGTTGAACTTGAGTTGTGGCGTTTGGTGAAATCTAGTTTGTGGCAATTGTTAAACTTGAGATTTGGTTGTTGGTTGAACTTGAGTTTGTGTCGTGTTTGAACTTGAGTTCGTGTTGTTTTTTGAACTTGAATTTGTGTGTTTTTTTAACTTAATTTTTTTGAACTTGAGTTTGTGGCAATTGTTGAACTTGAGTCTGTGGTTTTTGGTGAACTTTTATTGGTGGCAATTGTTGAACTTGAGTTTGTGGTGTTTTTGAACTTGAGTTTGTTTCGTGTTTGAACTTTGTTTGTGGTGTTTTTGAACTTGAGTTTTTGGTGTTTTTGAACTTGAGGGTGTGTTTTGTTTTTGAACTTGAGTTTTTGGTGTTTTTGAACTTGAGGGTGTGGAATTTGTTAACTTGAGAATTGGGTATTGGTTGAATTTGAGTTTGTGTGTTTGTTGAACTTGAGTTTGTGTCATGTTTGAACTTGAGTTTGTGGTCTTTTTGAACTTGAGTTTGTGTGTTTGTTTAACTTGAGTTGTGGCGTTTGTTGAACTCTAGGTTGTGGCAATTGTTAAACTTGAGATTTGGTTGTTGGTTGAACTTGAGTTTGTGTCGTGTTTGAACTTGAGTTCGTGTTGTTTGTTGAACTTGAATTTGTGTGTTTTTTGAACTTAATTTTTTTGAACTTGAGTTTGTGGCAATTGTTG